TCTTTCGATTTTTTTTTCTTTTATTATGTGAAATTTCGTACTTAGAAATGGTTGTTATCTACTCTTAAAAAGGAAGCTCAAAATAATAAATTTATTATCAATGTTTCAAAAAAAAATAATAAATATGTACTGCGAACATTTAGTTAGGCTTTGTGGTGCCCCTCAATCTTCTGGTGCCCTAAGCACGTGCTTAGTGTGCTTAATGGTTAATCCGGCCTTGATTAGAAGTTACGAAACAAAATATTAAAGAACGAAAATTTTTAAATTAGAAATTATAAAATAAATCTTTCATAATGAAGAGAAAAAAAGTTACTTTCTGTTTATTAAATCTACAAACCAAAAGATATAACTACTTAAAAACTTTGCTGTAGCATTTGAAGCTATAATTACGATTTAATTGTTTATTATATAAATATGTATTAATTATTATAACTAAATAATTAAATTATTATTAAAAATTGAAGTTTCATCTGAGACCAAATAGGCTATGATAATTTTTAAACTAACCGTCTTTAACAGTGATTCTTTTTTTATTCCTCACTTAACATATAAATAAAATCATAATAACAAACAGAATTGCAACTGACCGAAATCTTCATTTATTATCAATAAGTGTATGAAAATACTGATTTTATAACTGGTGCTGTCATCTAGTTATGATTATATGTAAATAAATTTAGAGAAAGTGTTATATAAAAATTAGCTTTTAATGCGACTAGCAGGTTAAATTTTTCCAACTTTTTTTTAGATGACTCTGTTTGTATAAATAGAAAAGAATTTTTTTCCAAACCAAACAAAAGTTACTGTTAAAATTTAAAGATAATAATTCACTAAATTGAATTATTGTAATACTTGTTACTAAATTTTTTCCCGAAATATATTATATTTGCAAAGACTTTAATAAAATTTTGTTTTTATTTAAAATAATAATAAATTATAAAATATTTTAGAGTTCACATAAATAATTTTAAATACAAAGAACTGAATACAATTTTAATAATTCCATTTTTAACTTAAAAATAGTTAAAGTTAGCTAAATAGTTAAAATGACTAGTCATTTAAAGCTTACAAAATTATATTTTACTTCAATTGATTATAGGACAGATTTTTGCCATTATCAAAAATTTTCTAAATCAAAAAGTCTTAGTAAAGCTTCACTTCTAAATTTTTTATAACGAAAAGAAAATTAGAATAGATATTTTTTTTTCGTTTTATTAAATTAAAATTACGACACTACAGTTGTTTATTTGAAAAAAAGATTTTAAAATTTTTTTTATCAAAATTTAAATTAAAAATATGTAAATAAAGTATATGATTTAATAAATTTGGAATAAAAAAATCTACGTAAAATAAGTGTTTAGTGGTTGATTTATAAGAATGCTTTAAAAGATAAATTGCGAAATATATGCTTCCGTGTCGCCTCCTGGGATTGTGCCCCGAACCTCTAGGATTGTAGACTCGAATTTAGTTAACTTTAAATTTCTTTCACTGATTTAATTTCAAGCTAACTTTCTCTGCCTCAAAGGAAAAAAAATCTTTTTAGTGTATTTAAAGAAAATACATAATTTTGGTGGAACACATCTTAGAATAATCGACTCGAATAATATTTTCCTACTATTTAAATGAAGAAATTGAAGAGAGTGAGTCTTTGATTGCAATGTCTAGAATAGGTCGGTAAGTATTTTATTCTGCCACACTACAGTTGCACAATGGGCTATTGGGGATGTTAAGAATAGGAAAATTCTACGAAATCCAGGACTATATCAATTACTAGCGCCACAAGTGGGAGAGTAGTAATATCGCGTTCCTTTTTATACTGTATTGGCGTGAGTGGTTTCTATTGTATAATATGTCTCTGTTTTAAAGCAGCGCTATCTGGCAATAATTTGATGATCTACTCCATCCAAAACCCGAAGTCAAGCATCACTGGCTACGGTCAGTGTGCGGGTGGGTGACCACTTGGATCAGTTTGCGTAGGGACCGAGGGCGGGCGGTATGGGTCCTCGTTAAACTGTTCTACCGTAAACTGCTCGACTTCGCATGCAGGTCGTCGGGCTACCGAAGCGGGGGTGCCATCCCCTCTGCAGAGGATCAAAATTGTGATGGCATGTCTTCGGATCATCCTCAAGGATGCTTCCCAGATCGTCGCCAATAGCCCATTGTGCAGCTCTAGTGCGATGTAAATTAACCAGAACCATCCAAAACCAAAAATTTCGCAGCCAGATTTACGATCATATGTTTATAATATTTGGCAATGACTGTTGGCAATGACTATTGACTGTTTACTGTTGCCATGGAGGCGACAAATATTTTGAACTTTGCACATGCATCTAATCAGCAGGTACATGGAATCACTAGGTGGATATCGTATCTCAATAATAAAATAACTTAGGAAATAAAATTTATTTATTTATTTTATAAAATGGAACCTGTGGAAATTCCTGATGCATCTGCCGATAGTCCTAAAGAATTAGTGAAATGGCCAAAAGTCATTCTGTTTGGTGATTCTTTATCACAAGTATATAATCATTACATTTATAATTTCCTTTAAGTTTGATATAACGAATCTTTGTGAACATTACAATTTTATTATCAAAACGTCGTCCATTTTTTTTTTAAATTTGCAAACAAGGTTGCCGCTAAGTTATATTTTTTAAAGGGGGGAAATTTCCATGTTGTTGAATGAAATTCCCATTTTGACCGAATCATAAGTGGGCACTTACAAATATTTTGACATATAATAAAGAAACATTAAGAGCAGCTTTAACGAAGTTTATGTTGTAAATAACATAGCTGTTAACTATACCCAGGAGATTTTATATTTAAGTAATAGCAAGACTTATACTTAGCAATTTTAATTTATAAATCTGAGCTGAAATTTCTTCCTCATCATTTTACCTTATTAATTTAAATGGATATAAACTATCTAATAATCATTGATGTGGTTTTATATGCTGATGAAGTTTAGGAAATTTTTGCTGCATGTTATTGTTCCAATTTTTATTTCACTACCACTAGAAATAACTTCTTAAAGTTTTGACAACACAGAAATAAGTATGATTTGTCTAATATAATATCAACAAGGAATAATATTTTTAAAAGTCAAATCTATAATAAAATTAAGTTAACTGATAGCTAAGAAAATAGAGTTGCTATAACCATGGTAATGAAAATCAATAAACTTTGTAGAATAAGGTATATCTAGGGAGATTTCAACAACTTTCGGGCAGCGGCCCGTGAGAAGCTTTAAAGAACATCATAGAAAGGGACTGTGGCGTAACTACCACTACAAAAGTTTAACATCATTCACTAATATATAAAGCATGCTAACTTGATTCTATCATGAGGTATACCTTTTGATAGATGTCGGTTGGTATTGTCAGATAACTCCGCCCCCCACATTGGTGACCCGGACGTGATTTGCTCACGCAAGTAACGCCCACTTCACATTCTCTTAACGGTATCGCCTACTTCGATGGATAGACCACATTGAACGGTTGACTTGCTATTTGTGAATGCATCATTCACCCTCCTGCGCTGTTGCTCAGTCTCGTCTCAGACGCACACACAACGTCGGCAAGCATACACTCGATTGCTAAAAGGCAACACAGGAGCGACCACGTCTGTGAAGTTAATACACCTCTCACATTCAGCACTCAAAAAAAAAAAAAAAAATCCTGTGACAGCAAAGTACAGCAAATAGTGAGATCTGTTCATCGAATTATATCTCTGATAAAATTCTGGTGGGGGAGTACTGTAGCGTAACTACCTCTACAAAAGTTTAACATTCACTAATATATAAAGCATGCTAACCATATATAATAATAATAATATATAAAGCATGCATCTCAAAAGGTATCTACATGCTAACATCTACATGTTTTTTGTTATTTTTTAAATTGCCAGTTTAAAATTTATTTGGCACCTTGGCAGTAGTAGTTGGCGCGACAGATCACGATGCGGAATTATCCTCATATATCTAAAGATGTAATTCATTTGCATCAATAAATAAAAATATTTTGTTGTTTATATTTTCAAAACATAGTAATTTTTTCTAGCCATAAATTACTGACTTATCGGGTGATATTTCCGTATCGTGATCTGTTACGCCAACTACAATCCCCAAGTTGCCAAATAAATTTTAAATTTCATTTTAATTTAATTAAAAAAAATTAAAAAACTCATGTAGATATTTGTCATGGGGTGGTTATGAGTTATACCCTTCAAGTTGGTCCCTTTCTGTGATGTTTTTTTTAGTTTTTCTTGATCCGCTGCCCGGAAGTTGCCAAGACTTGGCGATTATTCTGTCATAGATCACGATACAGAAATCTCTCCATATATTTATGATATACTTAATTATTCTAGTCAAAACATAAAATAATTATTGAACCATTTGGGAAATAATCATAAACAAATTAATTCACACTGCCACTGCATAGGATTATTTTGCCATAGATGAAGATACGAAAATCTTCCCCCACAAAATAAACTATCATTTTGCTTGCATTTATAGACTAGTTTTATAATGCGTGTACAATGCCTAAAAAAGGAGCACCTTAAATAACATTCGATCTTCACATTCTAGAACTCAATCTAAGCACTTTGTTGATTGACAATTTTATATAGAATGTTACAAAACTATACAAAAGTAAAACATTCTTAGTAAATTTCAATAACTTTCATTTATACTGAATGAAATAAACTTTAGAATATTCTGTATCTCCCTGGGTTTCATAAATTGAAATAGATAATGCAAGTGCAATAAGGAGTTAACTTGTCACCCCCCTCTCTTTCTCTCTGTTAATGGTTTAAAGGGCCAAATAAGCTAATTATTAATTGCAGGCAATATTTAGCTCTTGTGCATCCTGTGCTTAGGTAGCTTTATCTGGTTATCTATCCATATCTTATGTCTTTATTTTGTTACCTCTTTGATCTTATAACCTTCATTAATTCCATTATAGAATTTTCACTTTTATTTTAAAATTTGCATATTTTTACAGAGAAGTTTTGATCCTTACTCAGGAATGTGGGGTACTTTATTAGCTGATAAACTACAAAGGTATGCCTAGCTTATTTTATATTAGACAAAGTAAATGCTGTAATATAATACTAGTTTTGCAATTTTACTATTGGCACTTGACAATTTTAAGAAACTTAATCTTTACCAATAAATGTAAAATAACTTTTTAATAAATTTAAGGAAAATGTGGATATATTTAAGGTCTGTTGGACAAAACACTGGCTGATCTAGACAGTTGTATAACTTGTTAACTTTCTCAAATATGGTGATCAGCTAACCTTAGAATGTTAAGTTTGTAAATGGAACTGCTGCACACTCTCTTCCAAACATCCCAGGAGGTTAAGTGACTGAGACCCTTATAAAATTCTCATTATCAGGAAAGCTTTGGTGTCAATCGTCTGTTCTCTGAATGTATTGGAAATGGCGCTAGAAATGATTTTTAATTTCAGCAGCAATAAAGATTCCAGCTTAAGGGTGTTTTTCAAAGGCTCTGCCATTTTACGAAATGATGCTTTTTGCGAATAATATCTTATTTTTATAACTGCTGGGAGTTTTCTACAGATTATCATGACTGTTAAGCTAAGTTTAACCTATATTTAGCCCGTTCATTCTATTCCTATTCTGAAAATTGTGAAAAATATTAATATGGAGAAAAGCACAGTTTTGAGAAAATTGAAAGTATTTCTGGTCTAATTTTTTAATATTTTTTAAAAGCTTACTACAATGCTACATAATCTGGGCACATTGAAATTTTCAAAAAAAGAGAATTAGGCATTGATTTTTATATTAATAGAAGATAAATACAATGCAATTCTATAAACTGCAATTTGCAACAAACTACATAAACTTTATAACCTAAAAAGCAAACCAAAATTAATAAATTTTATGGATTCTAATTCTTTTGATAATTTAAATGTTATTTCTGCAAATAAATACTTCTGTGTACATTTTTGAATTTTAAAGCATTTGTGTTTACAAATTATTTTAAAGCATAAATATCGATTCTTTTTAGACTAATATTGCCTTGTTTAGGTAAGTAAGTTTAATGATATTTTAAGTGATCTATATATCAAAAAATTTTATATAATGCAAATCCTCATGTTTAGAGTTATGCTTTATAAAGATCTTTGACTGTGTGATAAATTTTACCAAGCTAAAGTTATTCTTCTTATTATAAATGGTTGAAGTTGTTATTCTTATTGGGTATTATTTTAGTGAAATTTGCACTGAGTCAAAAATTTCTTATTTATTTATTAATTCTGCTTTCAAAATATTTGATTAAGTTAGTATGTTTTTTCTTTTCAGATTTAAACAATTAATAGATAGAAATTATTATTTAAAAATCAACCTAATTTTAATCTTAAATTGTATACATTGTAAAGAAATTAAAAAATATGCAACCAAATTTTAAAAACAATTTTCTTAAAATTACTAACTTATGTGAAAATGCATTTTTGTGCTAATCTGAAAATTTTGAGTTCTACAATTTAAGAAAAACTTTTTTTTATCACATTCTCATCTTTTTTCATTAAGACTCTGCTCTGCTTAAAAACAGCTTAAATTTTGATGATCTTTTAGAAAGTAAAATAAAACACATCTACCATTGGATAAAAGTCTTAACAATACTTAATTTAGCCAATTGTAGTTTTTGTATTTTAATTTATTTATATTTGTATATATTTTGAATATAGAGAACATAATTTTCTTATTATAATATTTATTACATTTTATTGTTTCAGTGTTATATGAAAACTTTTTTTTTTTCTTAAAAGAATTTGTGATGTGGTGAACAGAGGATTTTCTGGTTACAACAGCAAGTTTTGCCGTGTAATTCTTCCAGAGATATTCTCCACTTCAAATGTTTCAGACATAGCAGCATTTGTTATTCTTTTGGGTTCAAATGATAGTTGTGATAAAAAAGTTGTGCCCAATAGTTGTCAGTATGTTTCTCTTGAAGATTATGAGAACAATTTAGAAGCAATCATAAAATATTTACAAGTAAATTATTTCTGTAGTCATAAATTTATTATAGTTTTAAATTTATTTAGTAAACCTTCCATTATAAGAACCAATACATGAAATCTTGTTTGCTATTTCATAGACGATGTGTTATTTTAATACTTATTAGAATGTCTGATCTTAATTTTTTATGGGTCATTCCATGTCAGTTCATGCAGCCACCATTTCAGATTTTGATGAAAATTGGTACACTTATAGAGTTCTTTTTTATGCTGATTTCAAATATATCTCAAATATATATCTATATATTAGAGTTGGTAAAAGGGTTAAGAAGTTTTAAACATTTATATTTTTGTTAAAATGGTTTGTTTGACACCATTTTGATTCACACGTCAAAGGCTATTAATGGCTGTAACTCATTTGTCCCAAAATAATATATATATATTTTTTTTATCTTATTCAAACAAAAGTAATCTTTCATTTAAAAATAATTTCATATAGATAAGTGTCCTACTGTTTAGTGACTAGGTTTATTTTGAAGTTTTTTCAGCAACAGAGTTGAGTAACTTCAGCAGCTGATTTCATCTAACACACCCCCTTCAATTTCAAAAAGGTTTTAGTCAAAAGTTAGTTGAAACATCACACTAGCATCTGATAAAAAAAAATGTTCATGTGCAGCTCAAATGCATTTTTTTTTTTTTTTAATTAAGTAGTTGGTAATNTTTTTTTTTTGTTTAATTAAGTAGTTGGTAATAAGATTTCAGTCTAAACACCAATAAGATAACACTTAAAATTTTTTGAATGAATCATTTATTTTGGAATAGCAGACTTTTATTTTGTAATAAATAAATTTTAACAGTTACAAGCAGTTTGATCCACTTGAAAAAAATCAAAATTTTGGTTGATGAATTTTAATAATGGAAAATTTGACATCGTTTGTAATTTTAAAAAAGAACTTATAACTTTAAATAAAAATCAAGCATTTTTTATACTATGAATCTTGTTTTGTTTTTTTTCTTTTAGAAGAATATTCTTTCCACTGTTTGCTCACTAAAGTATTTTACTCAACATTGAATTTGTGGGTTCTTTTTATTGTGGTGTTAATGTCAATTGCACAAAGAATGTATGTAAAAAGAACTATTTCTTTTAAATAATAATATGAAGGAGATGAGCTATTTATCATTTTAATGTTGCTGATGGGAAAGAAAATGTAGTTTATATTTATACAGTATTTATAGATCATGTGCATTTGTTGATTATGTAATGATCATTGCAAACTTGCTTTTGAAAAAAAACTCTGAACTGTTCCACCTATTCTATCACAATCAGACTTTCCATGGCTGCTGACACAAAAACTTCCTTTTGCACTTATACCCTATAAATCAAGTTCATGGTAACACAAGTTAAGAACAGTCTTGCAATAATAGCACAGCCATCAGTAAAATATTCAACATTTCTAACAATACGATAGTTTTCATGTTAACACTATTTTATTAACTTTTGTGTCTAGTATACTAGTGGTATGTCATGATCCATATAGTAAGAAAGGAAACAAAAGCTTTCACTCATTAGACTGACAGTCTGAACAAAATAAAATAAAAATTGTTTTGGGACAAATATAAGATGAGTTATAGCAATTAATTTTTTTGTGTGAATCAAAATGACACCAAAATAGTAATTTTAGCAAAAAAATAAATGTTTATTTTAAAACTTTTACTAATTCCAATGCTATTAATAGTTTTGAAATCAGCATCAAAAATTCTATAAGTGTTCAAATTTTTCTCAAAATTTAAGATGATGGATTCCATTTTTGATAAATTCTGTATGATTTGACATGAAATGACCGTCATTCCAATATATCAACCAAAATTTTGTTTAATTTTAACTCTAAGAAAATCAGTACATAACAGATGTTAACGTTTTTGCTCGTTATTAATTGGAAAAATGTTTTCAAAATAAACATTTTTCAGTTCAGAACAAAAGTATATATAACAAAAATCCTGAATAATCAAAACCACTATTTCTTTTGATGTTATCAATAANTAAACTTAGACATAAAATTTAAGATGATGGATTCCATTTTTGATAAATTCTGTATGATTTGACAAGAAATGACCGTCATTTCAATACATCAACCAAAATTTTGTTTAATTTTAACTCTAAGAAAATCACTACATAACAGATGTTAACGTTTTTGCTCGTTATCAATTGGAAAAATGTTTTCAAAATAAACATTTTTCAGTTCAGAACGAAAGTATAAATAACAAAAATCCTGAATAATCAAAACCACTATTTCTTTTGATGTTATCAATAAGTGGAAAACATCTTGAATTTTCTGTGAGTGTAGAAAAAGTGAAAGTACCATGTATTCTTATCATTAATCATAAGTAGATGTAATCTATGGCCAAAAAATTGTAAAACACTGATTGCATTTTAGAATTAACAATTAGAAGTGTAAATTGTATCCTCCGGTGGAAATCTGAGTCTTCTGTATACATTCATGTCAATTTATGAATCAGTTTTCTTGTTAATCATATTTTTTCAAGAAACATGTCCTATCAAATCTACATATGCTCCCCCCCCCTCTTATTGTTACCATTCCATAACAATCACTAATACATGAAATCCCATTTGGTATTAAATTGACGCAATGTTATTTTAATGCTTATCAGAATGTCTCAGCTGAACTGTTCATTCCAAAACAACGACTGACATCATTTGTCAAAACAAGTTCATTCTTTTTGAATAAATATTTGCTATAGTTTAGTGTACTCGCGATATAGCAACCTTGCATTATAATGTTACTTTTTCTTTGGATTCTTTAAATTGATTGTCAACTACACTTTACATACTAAAAAAAATACAGATTTCTAATTGAGTTAAAATAACTTTATTAGAAATCTGTAATGTAATTATATTTTTCTCTTAAATCTGATTTTGGGGGTTGTCCAGCATCCTGTTTGACTCATTATTTTTAACTTCTGTATAAATTCGGACTCTGTCATGTTTACTTCAAAAAAGAAGTTTGACAATGCCTTTAACCCACTGACAGTTCTGTATGTAAAAAGTTGTATTTTGCCATGTAGTCTTCTCGCAGCAAAACCAGTTTTACCGTGTTATTATAAAGGGAAATAGTGTTTTGGAGAGATGCATTCTCCTAATTTTGCCCATGCTAAACCGCCAGTGGGTTAAAATTTTCACAATTCTTCGGGGTTTCATTAAAATAAGAAAAGTTTAGAATCCAGTTTAGTTGCATGTGAAGCTCTATTTTCATTGATATTAAATTGTCTTGTTACCAAAATGCCTTACTGTCTCGTGAAATCTTAACTATTTTGCGACATTGCATATCATCAAGCACCTTTTCATTTAATGCAGTCTGTTTAATTTTTATTATTCTGATTGATTGAAAACTAGCATATAAATGTTACATTAAATGAAAAGGTGTTTGGTTCCAAACTAAGTTGCATGATATAGTAAGTTGACGCCACACACCCATCATGAAGTACAAGTGATCAAGCTGGTTGCATGAAGGGTTAGTATTTATAATTGAGACTAATATGTATATTCTATTTCAGAAAATTGGTGTTGATAAAGAAAAAATCATTTTAATGTCCCCTCCACCCTGTTGTAATGAAAATTGGACAAAATTTTGCCAGCAAACAGGTATTTAAAAAATTTTAGAGTTTTGTTAGTTGATTAAATGCTAATTGATATGATTAATGTATAAAATATTGTCAGAATTATTTTTGATAAACTTAACCCTGAATCTATAATCCTGAATGTTAATCTATTTACGTAAAGTAATGCTAGCTTTTTTAAAATATATTAAAAAAACAAGCTTCTCAAAATATATAAAAAAACAAACATTTTAAAATATATAAAAATGAAAGACATTGAATATAAAATTGTAGGACTTTATGGTGAAGGTGATGCTTGTTCTGATTTTGGACATGTTTTTTGCGTTCTTTAACTGATCTTCCATCGCCGTAAATCATCGGAATTCTTTCCACAGGTTTCAGTTTTTTTCTGCTAAAATCATTCAACTCTGCTTTTCTTTTACCAAACTTGATTTCTGGGGATCATTTTATATTTTGAAAAATTCTAATAATTAGGTTAATAATCTTTCCGCTATATCACCATTTTCTTATTTTTCGGAAATCTATTCAAATTTAATCTTTTACACCCTGGAGTTCTTGCCATACCTCCTCACACCTGTTTTTTATCTCACTTCGTCCTTATTGGTTTAAACGCTTTGAGTGCGTTTTTCTCCTTACTTCTCAAATATCATTTCTTGTTTAGACACTGAAGAAGGTTTTTGTTTATAGAACCAAAACTGCAGTATGTCTCTTTCTGCACCTTTAGGACACTTAGATAGTTTTGTTCCTTCCTTTTTTTAAAGAATTTTTTATTTAGTCTATGTAGCACAAAATATACCTTATATTTTTTTGGATATTCTGGTATAAATGAACCTTTTTTGGGTAAAATTATTTTATTGTATTTCTATTCTTCCTGTCTCTTTACCACATTTATTGTTTTTGTAATTTAAGGTTTAAAAATTATAAAATCTTAAATAACTTGTTTTTTAATTTATATTAGGCATATGAAAGTTTGTTGCAATTTCATATCTTTCAAATTTAATTTACCCTCACCCTACCAAATGCATAAAATTCTTCATATTATAAAATGTTTCACTGTTAAGGGCTGTTATTCAATAAACCCGTAAAAAGTTAGCTTCTGTTTAGCACGAATTATATTACTGCCTATTAATATCGGCAATTCTACATCCAATTTTAACGCAATTGATTACAGTCTTGGTGAAGAACTGACTTATTCTGCTCTAAAAATTAATTAATCCTTTAAAAAAAATTCCACAAATTGCTCAAATCTAATCATATATCTGAACCTATTCCTTAAAGACCTACTAATGAAAATACTATTATCTCGTCAGTTACTCTTACTTACATTTGTTTCATGCAGTCCACCTTCCCTTTTAATGGTAAATTTTATTGAATGATTGATGGCTTAGCTATATGGGTTATCTTCTCAGTCCCTAATTAAATGATCTGTATATGCACTACTTTGAAGAGAAATTCTTTGATTTTCCCCTTTTTAAAGACTACATGTCATTGATTGTTTCACTTACAAGGTTTCCACTGGTGACTATTTGCTATTTTATTTGACCTTAGGTAAACTTCTGAACAATGGCAACTTTTTTTAACAAAAAATTGTCCAAAAGCAACTATTTTTAAAAAAGTGACGACTTCTTGCAGATTTAAGTGATAATTTTTTTGCGCTTTTTCTTTCTTTCTAATTTTGCTAATAATTGTAGTTTTTATACAATGAATTCATTTTTGCGCTATGTATAATGTTCCATCCATCTTTAAATTTTTTTTTATTATCCTCAATACATTATTTTATATACATTATTTTATTTAAAAGAAAACTATTTTTTTTATCATTTCCATTTTGTTTGTTTTTTATAGTTAATGTGCTAAACTTAATGTTTCAGATTCGCTTTTATTCTCTGTGAATTACGATTCACACTTTAACAGGGTTGCCACTACACAGGGAAAACCTGGAAAATACAAGGTATTTTAAAATCACCTAAAATAATAGGGAAAATACAGGGAATTTTGATTTTTTCTTTACAAACTGGGAAAATACAGAGAATTTTGTTTATTTTTGTCTTTTAAAAAATGGTGACCACGCAAAACTTAATCTATAGGATATTTAACCAAGATATTTTAGCTATACTAAACTATTTCATTTAATGTTGCATTATTTAAGTATGTTCAGCTGTTTTTTCCCAGCAATTAAAACTAATAAATATAGTTAGCCCAATATAGCTCACACAAGAGCACAGTAAATGTTGTTTCCTCTTAATATATTGTGTATAATATGTACAGGGAAAACACAGGGAATTTTTTTTCCAGTTTTGAGTGGCAACTCTGAAAGACATGCTTTGGGAAGTATAATCTATATGGTCTTCGAGTACCAGATCGATCCACTTTTATATACAAATAATGCATGGGGATTCATATGGTTGCGATTTAAACATCACAGATTGCAACTCGTACTCACAATTTTGAAATGTAACATTCTTGATTCCTTTTCTGGCATTTTTAAAATCAAACATCAGGGTTTGTATTTACATGTTTAAAAACAAAATTATTTCCATTAAAATTATTATCAAATATCGCAATATGCAGGGGTGATTGTGCTCCGGAAAAATTCCGGATTTTTCGCTAACCACGATCCGAAAGTTTCCAGAAATCCGAAGTCCAGAAGTTTCAAGAAATCATGGATCACATTTATCTATAAAAATTCCTGTATATTTTATTTAAAAATATTCGAACTAGAATTTATACTTGGCATCTCTTTCATTTGTAAATATTTTTTTCTGGTAGAATAATAAATCTGATTAGAGATAAAAGTAAACTTAGACATAATTATTCACTTAAATTATGCTGCATATAGTTAATTTAGAATATCATGTTTTGAAAATTTCAATGATTTTAATTTATAAAGATATTAATTTTTTGAATGATTTTACTCAAGATATTTTCAGGATTTTTGAGTTGGGCCCACAATCAACCCTTAATATGCACTCTATTTCAAAACATTAATGAGCAAAAAAGTATAATTTATGTCTCCAGTCTTCTCATAATTCAAGACATTTGTAACATAAATTCAATATTCATATAGACCATTAGAAAAAAATAATAGTTTGAACATTTTTTTATGCCATTTTCCTGAAACTCCATATTTTTATTTTTTTATTACTAAACCAATTGAAATTAATCCTGACAAAATAAATATTAGAAATAAAAATCAGAATTTAACCTATAAACACAGATAATTTTACCAGTGTGTAATTATAGTATAATATTTTTTTTAATAGAATATGAATAAAAAGGTAGTGTAGCTTATTTTTACAAAAAGGGCAAAGTGAGCGCATCAAAGGGCAGTCTGCTCACTTGAAAACGCTTAGGGAGAACACTGATTTAGGAAACTAGTAAATTTGAATGTATTAATAAATTTATTTAACCTCTTGTATCAGGAAGACTATTGTTAATTGTTTTATCTGCTTATGTTAAGTTATCTCTGTTGTTTTACTTGCACTCCAATAGAAGTGTGCAACTGTTTCAGTTTTCTCCACAAACTATCCTTCAAGTTTTACTTACTTAAATTCTGATGAAGGTTGGAACAAGAATTTCTGTGATATATGATTATTACTAATATCCGAAATTGTTACAAATATCAAAATTGTTACACCACTAAGTCTCAGACAGACATTTCAAAATAGATTGTTTTACAACAATGTAACTTGTGCAAGTGCTTTGCAAAAGTAAGAATTCCCAGTTTGTGATTAATTGTTTATCTGAAAAATAAATTGCCTTTAAATAGCAAAACGAATTCAATTTAATTGCTGTTTAAGCTAATTTTTGACAAGCTAATTTTTTAAGCTAACAAGACAATTGTGACCAATAGCAGTTTCTACTGTCACTCACTCATAAAAGAATGAAAAGTTTATTAAAAAAAAAAACTCTTTAAAGAATGCATAAATTTTAATTCTGCATCAAAGAGTTAAGTATAGTATTATTTATTTATTTTTTTAAATACTAGGCTTAACTTTTTTACGCAGAATTAACCCTTAATTATAATTAACCCTTTTATGCATATTTTTCATTATTTTGTATTAATTCAGGTCTAATTAAGTGAAAAATATTACATTTAGTATTTTAATAATTTATGGTTATAAAATACAACATGAAACACTGGTGTCTTATTCTATATTAAAGGTAAAATCTTCCAAACATGGCTCACTTCCAAAAAAAATTTCAAATTTGTACTTGATTGCAGTTCATATTTGCACTAAGAGAAACAGTTATTCATCATTGAATTTTCTTTGATTTACAAAATCAACTATCGCTACATTTTTGAATATGAATGGAAAAAAAATTTCAAACTACTTTTCTTCGAATTTACTTTAACACAATAAAATTCCATTAATTTAGAAGATGTTTTTAGTAACTATTAGACATAACTTAAGAATACCAAAATATAGTTTTACTAGCAATTGGAGCATCAGAAAAAAAATATATATATAAAGACACAAGTGTCCCATCTACAATTATTAAGGTTATAAATAAATTTAGTTCATAAAATAATTTTATTTTTTGAAAGAAAAAAATTTAAAAATTAATATACATTGTACTATTTTTTTTCACAATGTGTTGGAAGATTGCATAACTATATTAAATAGTCTATCAAACTGAATATTTTTGTGCTAAAATTTTGAAAACCAATTGCTGAAACTTTTTNTTTATTCTAAATGGCGCAAATGAGAATTTTTTTTCAAAATGCGAGAAATTCGCGATTTTTAAAATTGGTTTATAGACTGCGCGAATTTCTCGCGGTAATCATTTTTTAATGCGAGAAAATAAAAAAAATATGCGAGATTCTCGCGTTCTCGCGCTGTAGTGAAAACACTGATTGTACTATTTTTTTTCACAATGTGTTGGAAAATTGCATAACTATATTAAATAGTCTATCAAACTGAATATTTTTGTGCTAAAATTTTGAAAACCAATTGCTGAAACTTTTTACATTATCTAATTTCATTTTTAAAAAAATTATCCTACATATTATAATAAAAAATATATACTAGAGGGGGCAGTAGTGACATAGTAGTGTCCCAACATAATCAATTGCTCCATTAAATATATGTAAAGTTTGCACTGCTCAAGTCAAAATGTGTTGATTTGATTTATTACTAAATAAATTTAATTTTCTTAAATAGTGTTTCATTGCTCTTGAATGTCAGATTTTCAGGAGAATCATTCATATAATTGTTGTAAATGGAAAGATTCAAAAATAGTCTTATACATATGTTAATTTGTTTTCTTAATTGCTCTACTATAGTTTGATAAGTTAAAAAAGAAAAGAAATTAACTTGAACAAAATTATAGTTGAAATTTATAAATTCACTTTAGAATAATTGTTTGGATAATGCCATAAGTTTTTGTTATTGTCTTTTAATCTTATCTAATATTTTAAATGCTCTTTTTTTTATAAAAAAAAAACTTGTATAGATTTCTGGTGAAATATTCTAGTACATTTCAGGTAAAGATTCAGCAACTGGAGAACGACAAACATCTCAATATGCCTTTGCTTGTATTAATTTAGCCAAAAAATTACATATTGATTATGTAAATATATATGAAGAAATGATTAAAGAGAAGGTAATTAACTGGTATAATTTTACATATTTTCTATCCCATTAATGCAAAAAATAAGTATCATAATTTTGTTTTTGATTTCTGTTGTATTTGCTCTGAAAGGGCTTAATTAATGCTTATCGATTCTAAGCTTTTTATTTTTAACACAGCTCAGTAATAAAATTGACAAAGCTTGAAAAGCATATGTACAAAAATGAATATGGCATAGCTTAAAATGGACCATTGGATTACGTTTTCTAAACTATGAGTTCAAATAAATTGGTAATACATAAATCACTTAGTATATATTTTTTAATGTAAATCTTTTTTTTTTTCCTTCAACAGACTCCTAGTCTAGTTCTTTCAACTGGGGTCAGAAGAGACTTATAAATTTATGATAGTGGTAGTAAATATACATTTATTTTTCACAAGTAGGAATTTCCTTTTTTAAAAGCATTTACATTTGTAGACCTGAAAATAAAGAATTTTTGTTGCATATACATGGTATCTCAGTTAAACATTTCAGAACTTCTGAGAGAGATAATGTACATCCTGACGACTTGAAATCACATAGTAATGCAACATCCGAAATGCTTTCTTGGAGTTCTAGATGAAGAAATTCAAACTGACCCTAGATTATTCCAGAATATTCAGAGTTCCATTCGGTATGGATGTGAGGTGTGCATTGGCATTGCAGTTAATGGGAAAAACTTGAAACTCTTTCTTTGACAAATGTTCTTTTTGTACATTTATAATTAAAATGAATATTCACTTGCAGTTTTTATCTTTGATATTTCTGTGTACGTCAGCATTGCAGCCAAGCATTTCTGACCATAAATTACTATATCATTTCAAATCATCTTAATATATTATAGACAAGGTAAGTTTAGCATTTTTATAAAGTGCTTACTTTGGGTTTTTTTTTTTACGAACACTTAAAGGTGCTTATTTTCATTGAATAGTATTCATTTCTCTTTTCTGAAATTTTTTTCCATTTACATGCTAATTGCCGCCTTAATAAATTACTCAGAAAGCAGGATTCTCACAACTGAGTCATCGAATCACAATTCTATATTGTACAGAAGAGATAATCATTTTTCATATGGTTTGTAAAATGTGTACTCTGAGGCAGTTTGCTTGGAAAGATTCCTGGGTTTCACATGAGCAATTTTGAAATTAAACTGAAAATATCTCACATTTTTGCTGCTCAAAGGGATCTAAATTTTACCAAATATTTTCTACAATAGCAAAAGAAAATGTTATTTTCCTGTCTGGATGATTTATTCACTGGATGATTTTACATTAAAGAGCTGATGACTTTCTTGCACTGTTCTATACATAGCTCAGTACACTGTCCATGAACTTTACTTAAGGATCATTTACTAATTAAGTATATTTTATTGTGTGTTTACAATAGAAAAATCAAGATACAACAGTGACAAAAACTTAGAAATTCAGATTTTTAGATAATTTTCCTTTTTGTATGATTAACTACTTATTGCAACAACAAAATATCACTGTTCTGAAATTTTATTTTAGTATTGATAGTATTAGCAAGGGTAAGAAAATAGTTGTCTAGCCACTTTTAATTGCAATCTATTGTGAAGCACTTATGCTGTCTTACATGACAGATTATTATCCAATTACATGACAGAACAGGTGTTTAAGATTATAATGTCTTACAGCATCAATTGCAGGAATGCAAATTTTACATACATATGCATACCTGCCAAGTCTCCTGTTTTTCAACGAAGACTCTTGTATTTTATGACTATCTCCTGTTTACCAGTATATTTCCAAATTTCTCCGTATTTGTTGAAGAAACTTAAAAAAAATACACATTTTGGCGATAAAATATCCGCTGATGACAAAAATAATTCTCTTATTCCTCAACAGATAGTGCTTTTGCCAGTACTGCAGTATGTTGAGTGTTAATAGTATTATCATTATAAGTATAAGTTTGAAAAAATCTTTTTAAAATATTAAAATTTACATACATATTTTTTACCTCTCTAAATGTAAGTGCTTACATTATTCCCAATTATGAATTTCTCTTTTCGACTTACATGATTATGCATGATGTAAAAATTTTCTCGTAACCTAAAAAATGTCACTAGTAAAATCTCCGTTATTTTAATTTTTCAATGTTGGCAGGTATGCATGTGAACCAGCAACCCAATTCATCAATTATGCTATCCAAATTGCTATTTAATTTGCAAATATTCAAATGACTCAAGTGAAATATTTCTTTTCCTTTGTACCTTAGTGTTTTTATGAGTTAAAAAAAGGGTTTTGCAATGCCAATAAAAGTAATAATTTAATCCTCGAACTTTTATACCACAATAATGGGGGGGGGGATTGCTTTTATAAAAGTGTGGAAATTAAAATTTTTATTTAATTTGGTTTTTCGTATGCAAAAGTTTTAAAAATACAGTTCTATGATTATAGAGTAAAATAATAAATTTTGGCACATATATCAGTGTATAGGCGTTTCCTTTCTCCTTAATAAAACTATATTTTCTTGACAAGCAACTCTAGTGGGTAAATAAATATTAATTTTTCGTTGTTTTATAATTTCTTTAAATGCCAAATTAAGTAAAAATAATTTTAAATTGATGAAATTACTAATTTTTTCTATTGTTTGAATTAAAAAAATTGTCTTGAACATGTGTTTTGTAAAAATTTTTAACTTGTAATTAAGTTGCTTAAATTTTTATCGAAAGTTTAACTTCTGGTACTCGATGTGGAATTTTGTCTTTTTTGTGCTACACATTTTGTTGTGATTAATTTTAAAAGTCCGCAAATTTTTGTGGTGTCAAGTCTGAAGCTCACAAGTGTCGACAAACTTGAAAGCCTTTCATTTAGTCTATGCAAATGAGATCACTTTCCACAACCCTTTTTGAGCTAATTTTACTGAACCATTTATCTTGTAAACATTTAAATAAATCGAATCTCACTCGCTTTCAAAAGTAATTTATAATTCTGATTTGAAGTCTGACCCTAACTCTCTTGTTTTGCTACTATCAAGAATAAAATTTAAAAAAGTTGGGACTTCACCAATCATTCCCTATCATACTAAAGAAAAATAACTATCTAAAATTTTGATGATTAAATTAGAAAGTTTGTTCTTTACGCTAGCTATGATATACTCTGTAGTTATCATGAGAACTCCTCCTGAGTTGGCTGCTGCTATAGAAACAAGAGTAAAACCATTTCAAATGGGGGGAAATTATCTTATTCAGGGATGAGATTAGCCAAAACGCAAAAAAGCTGAATTTCCACGATACTAAATTTTACGCAAAAGCAACCCTTTAATAATAAATTACAGACAGTTTAAGGTAATAAATAATGTATTGACATACAATTGTGTACTAATCTATTATTATAAAAACGATTACATTGATACTTAACATTTAGTGGGGAAAAAATTACAGCTGGAAATTATATTTTTCCTCAGTTCACATAAGAGACAATTACTACTTGAAAAACTACCTGGTTTAGAAAATTAAAACTTCTGAGAATATAAATTAATATTTCATTTCTTTTAATAAATACTGTTATGTGATTTATAGCAAATATATCAGTAATATTACTTTTTAAATTATATTGGGAAAAAAACCTTAACAATGGACCAAATCATTTTGTTCATATTATAGTCTAATCTAACTACAGCCCTCTGAAACATATCAATAACAGTGAAGTAGAAATATATAGTAACTCCTTAACATACAAAAATTGCTATTTTACTTTGAAAAATTACATGACAATCAGCAACTGTTTAGCAAATTGTTTTTTATTTGAAAAGAATTTTGCACTTTATAGCATAAATAACAGCAATTATAAATAAAATTTTAATAATGAGCTAATTAACTCTTTTTCCCCCCAAATTTTTTTTAATTAAATCCCTTTTTAAGTGATTACTTTTGCTTGCTATATCTTTTATGTTTGCTATATTTAGTCGTTAGTCCATCTTCAAACATCTTGTGACAAATCCTATTTTTTCTTCTTTGCAAGCACAGAATGTAAGTTTTGAATATATTCCCTTCCAGTTTCTCTGATGTTGTAACACATATGCTAATAATCGTCGTTAGAAAAACAGTCACCTTTATAGTAACTAATAATTAAAAAAAAAATTTACTTCTTACAAGAATCGCGATAGTTGATCTTAAAATTGCGTGAATATGAATAACAATTATGGATTTTGAAATCACATGAATATGAAACTAGATATACGATTTTGAAAATGAGAAAATACAAACTGGGATATAGAATTTTTAAAACGCGTAAATACAAATCACGATTCATAATTTTTAGATAGCGTAAATACGAATCATGGTGCATATTTTTTAGATTGCATAAACAAGAATTATGATGCATAACTTTTAGAATGCGTGAATGCGAATCCCAATGCCTTATTTTAAAATCGCGTATAAATACGTTTGAACTATGAAAATCGGATCTAGGAGGGCAGGCAAAAAATTCGGAAAATCTTATCTGCTGCGTGTAAAAGGGGAGAAAATAGGTAAAATAAGTAAAAATGAGAAAGGATTGGTAGCTATGTAGTTTGAATTTTCTGCTTCTCTTTGAAAATCAGTGAATTTTCTGAAAAAGCGGAATACTTGTAAAAAAAAATGAAATTTTTAGAAAATCTGAATTTTTGATAAAAAAAAGCTGAAATTTAAGAGATAAAAGTGCAAAAAGCGGAAAAATCTCATCCCTGCTTATTGACCTTATCCAGTGGAAAACAGCCAACCTCCCACACCCATTCTAAAAGAATTAACTACTAACATGAGAGTGGTGTCTGAACTTCTTTTGTTAGCCTGTGTATGAAAGCATGCAATTTAAGCAAATTTTAGTTAATTGTGTTAAGTTTTTTGATAATAAATAATGGATTTTTTTACTCTAGGATTGGCCCGACTATCTAATTGATGGGCTTCATTTCAATCAAAGAGGCGGAAAATTTGTGTATGATTTGTTATGGCCAGTAATTGAAAAAAAAATTAATGAAAAAACTATTTTTCCTCTGTGGGAAGAGTTTAATGAACATTACCCAGTTTAAGAAGTTCCTTAGTAATTTTTATTAAAAATAATGGAGAGAGAATATTTTGTATGTTTTTGTTGAAATAAATTTTTAAAAAAATGTTTTTTTTTTTTCCTTTATTGAAATTATTTCAAAATAAATATTCATCAAACAAACACAATATAAGATTTGACTAGCAACAGTAGACACATAGAAATACATGTTGTAAAGATTCTGCCAATGATAATAAAAATATAAAACTTTACATAGGTTAATAAACTTTTTTAAAATGTAACATTTTGTTATACAAGGAAGAACTCAAAAGTGTTGCAACACAAACCTCAAATCTGCATTTAAATTCAACTTACCATTCAAAACAAATGTACACTGCTAAAATTAAGGTTTCCAATTGGGAAGAAATTGATTCTATGAATTAGATTTTCATATAGAAATTGCCCTTTCTATCTATAAAACTGGTTGAAGACATCGCAATTAAACATTAGAGGTATTAATATACCAAAAATTCCACTTTCATTAGAAAATTTATCTTAACAATCAATGTTTTGAATTTAAATAAATTAATGCTACAAACAAACAAAAAATATCTTCAATTATGCAGTTAATTAGATATTTTTAAAACTTTATTTATACAGATTAGATATGCTAAATTTAAAAACACGTTTATTTTAATTTGTTTTGCAAAATTTCTTGGGATTAAGGATCTAAAGATACTATTGCAAAGATGTATAATTTAGCTGATTAAAATTATATTTTTAACGTCTTTGCACATTTAAGGCAAACATAAATGACAATAAAATGGCAAAACATACAAATAACTGTAGTTTTATAAATACAAAATAATACACTTTCCCCTGGTAAAACCAACTTATTCAACATTTAAAACTATATAAACAACAGAGTGGGATCCATTTTAGGGTCTTTTTGCTGTCGATAACGATAAACTAACCAAATGCTGAAAATCTAAAAGAAAAAGAGAAAAAAATTATTTTCAAGTAAATTTAATTTTTTTTAAAGAGCTGTTAGAAGTCTAGATTCATTTGAATATTGCACACTGATCTAAACTGTGGAGAGAAAAAAACTAGTTTTATTATAAAGAAATGTTTTTATGTATTTGTAAGAAACAAAAAATACAAAGATCCAGTGAGCTAAAAAGTCACACACATGTGCAGTGTGCTAGTAAACTGCATGGTTTATATCTACATAAGAGAAAAATGTTTAATCTATTAACCTTGGTCAGAAACACCTCTCGTTGAAGAACTACTTTAAACATAAGCAATTTACTCTATGAGCTTTGTTTTTTTTTTTTTTTTTTTTTTTTTACAAAAGAAAGAAAAAGCTTGTTAGTTACTGATATTTAGGTATAGAAAACTGCATATGTAATTTTATTTACAAAATTTTTAGAATCAACTTTCGCACTTTGTCCAGATTACAAAATAATTAGTAACACAAAAAGTTAAAAGCTATGCATCCAAGCTTAATTCAAAAAAAAAGTTACAAAAAAACCATAAAAAACTTAGTTATAACCTATACATAAGAGGAATTGAATGTGTTAAAAGGTTGGATGCAATGTGTAAAAGAATTTGGGAGAAATTGAATATGTCAAAAACCTTATCAAATGTGGTAAAGTTTTCAAGTCTTACCCCCCCCCCCTCCAAAAAATGTTATTTTCTATTTCTAGAATTTAAAAAAATGCTTATTTTCAATTTAGTCGAAGAGTTTGAAGTAGTTTTAAAAAAAAGGTGGGAAGAGCAAAGGCCGTACAATCAAAAAAAAAGGGGGGTAAGGAAACTACTGATAAGCAGGTTTTATTTCACTGATATCCCAAATCCACAAGCTAAAAAATATTTCCATTACATTCCAATTATATAATCGGGCTGCTTGTTCAGGATAATCAAGGTTCAATTGTATTTTGTCAAGTTTGGTTGAACTTGAAAGTTAGTAATTTTATTAAACAAAACTAAAGGATACAAGAGGTTCATATACAAAAGGAAGCAACTGTATTAAGGAGTATACAAAGATTTTTTTTTAATAAAACAAAATACTCTGGAAATAAAATTTAAAATAAATAACCTTCAGTTTAAAAAAAAGTGAGAGACAAAAAGAGGTAAGCAAGTAGGTTATAGCACAAATACAATGAATGTTAGTTTTTTAAAAACTGTTATTATAAAATAAAACTAGGAAAATTTCCACTTTCCATAGGAAATATATTAAAATTAGCTTTCAAATTCTGCACAGTTTATAAATTAATTTCTGCAATGTCATTTTTAACTTAAAGAGTGCCTTAATAATGAATATCTCACTTAAAAATGTTTAGATATCAGAAAAATAACAGGGTGCATAGCCAGATTTTTCAACAATAAATAAGCACCTTTTAAGTACTCAAAAATATTTTTAATCACTTTCCAACAAAAAAAAATCATAATTAGGATCTGAACAGTAATAAAAAGTATTTTTTTCTATTGTTAAAATTTCTAAATTTATAAACATAAAATTAAAAAACATTACCTAACCATGATAAAATAACAAGTTTCGGATAAATATAGCAGAGAAAATTGTGAAAATCATGCATTCTTTGTAATTTCGAACGACAATCGACAAAGCAAAAAAAAAATCTCTTATTAAAAGATAGAAAATTAAGCATTTTTTACAAGCCCTGAATAAAAAAGCACCTTTAAGGGATTTTAAAAAACATAAATCAAAAATATGCACCTTTAAGAACTTTTTAAAAACGCTATGCACCTTGAATAAACTTTAAAGCATATCTAAAGACATGATTAAAATGAATAAAGATCAATTTAAACTTTTTAATAATTAAACATTAAATTGTAGAAAATTTGTTTTGTAACAATAGTTAGTTGTGCCATACTTGATAGCTAATTTTAGTACACTACCTCATAGAAATATTAAGTTTTTATAGACTTTAACAACAGCCTTAAACATAAAAGGTTAGCAAAGCAATGAAAGTTAGTTTGTTACTCTACCTCACACAGATAGACAGATTCACAAAAAGGCATGTGGGTTAGAGCGTGGATCTTTCTGGTTACGATAACGAACAGTGAGCCATACACCAATAAACTGAAAAAAAGTTTTCAAGTGATGATAAATCTTGCCATAAAAAACTTATTTTCAGATTTCAAGATTTTTTTTGATACGACCAATTACAATTTTAAACCTTGCTAAGTACAGCATATCTTAGCTGGTTTGGTTAATGTAAGCTCTATAGCTACACTTATGGGCTATTGGTGAATGTCTAGGATTCACCCTAAATAATGATCTGAAATCATTTCTGCGGATGTGCACAAATTAGATCAGAGGGCAGATGTTAAAAGAAATAATGTGACCCCTGCATGAAGCTTCCCAAAAGCCTAACCATGTGTGGTCAGGATGGACTCTGAATCCGCCAGAGTCATTAAAGTGGATTCTGAATCTCTGAAACATAATCCAAGAGAGTGTAGTTCGATCAAACACCTAGCTTTTAGCATGCAGAATCGAACCACAGTCCTACATGTGGTACATAAAGACTTAATCCACCAAAACAACCCCGTCGTATGCATGCCTTAAGAAATAAAATAAAGGCTAGATATTATGAGAACACTTAACTGTTAAAGTTATTATATTGAATTTTGCATTATGAAAGAAAACAGGTGGAGTTTGGCTTAAGAGAGAAAGTTTAAGAGCTGATTAGTAACTAAAAACAAAGAAATAATATCTTTTCAAAATTTAATTGATAATTAAATAATAAAGCTTTTTATTTTAAAGAAAGCAGCAAATTTTAGAGAAGGAACCTTTAAAAAACCTAAAAATTATTAACTGATAAATGATACATGCATCAAAGGAACCCATATTTTTCATACCATATCGTAAAACGAAATTAGTAATTTAGTTAAAATTTTTAGTTAAAATTTGAAACGGAGAAGTTTATTTAGTTATCACATGAGACTCTACAGCAATGACATCTGATAAATTGACCCCATTCTTCAAAAATTGAGAAAAGGCTTTTAAAAAAGAAATATAAAATATTTTAATAAAAATCTTCCACCTCATAAACATATCTAAAAAAGTAAGATGTTTAGCACAGCAATGAATATAATAAACAAAATATATTCAAGTCATAATTATAAAGTTATTTTTAGCAGAAAAGTTCCTTTTTGCTAATTGAATAGGTACAAAAGAAACATAAAAAATAATTTGCTATAAACATTAGAATCAGATAGTAAAAACGCATTTTTGTCCAATCTTTAAGCTAATAAAATGAGTTAAAACAATAACAGAAAAAAATATTGTATATAAATAAAATAATGTGACGATCAAAAGAAAAAATTATATTGTTTTAATATATATTTTTATACCTCAGAGAAACTAAAAAATAGCCCTATGCCTCCACTAATTTTAACAGCATTGTTGATCACAGTTTGCAGTTTTCTCCAGCATGTATTTTTGCTATCTTCACAAACTGTAGGATGTTCTCGGCAGAATGGTATCTGAAAAATTTATGAAGGCATCACTTTTAATATCTATATTGAAGATTCATAATTAAAGGCAATTTAAGAAACCATCACAGTAATAACTTACATATGAACAATCTGCTTGCTGCATTGGATCTCCATCAGGCAAAGTGGAATTTTCAAATCCGCAACAATCAAAGTACAATTGTGTTTCATTACGCAATCCCATTGAAGCTTGGCGCCATCCTTCAGATGCAATTTTATGCTGCTGATCTTCATTGAAAGCCAAACAAGCACAAGCAATACTGAACTGAGCAACAAAAAGGAAAAATAAAATGACCATATACTTTGAAAAGTTAAGGATATTTTTCTGAATTACTTTAATCCTGCTCTTAGTTGATTTTTAGAAAAAATTTCATCGCCTACCACTTTTCGCTGATTTTTATTAGCCCTACTTTAGTTATAAGCCAGAAATGATAACAAACAAATATCTTAAAATAATGATAGCCATTAGTAACATCATAAAATATACATTTCATGAAAAGACATTGCAAATCTAGAATGTCACATGTTTACATGCATTCAAGAGATTTGTTACCACTCAACAGAAAATTTGATTTAAAAAAAAAAAAAAAACAATATACAAACCCAAAACCATTCTTTATGCACAGTAAACAGATAAAGAATGCTTGAAAATATTCAAGAACAATGAAAATTAATCAATATTGAGATTTAAACAAGCCACAAAATAATGAGAAACATAAATTTTACTTTAAAGATACAATAATACACATAAAATATTAACAGATGGAAATTACTCTCATATAAAAAGCGTATTTTATTTAGTTTCGGCAAAGTAATTTAGAGGCGTGCGCGTCAGACTTTTATAAAAATCAGTCTTTTTGTGGATACCCAAAAATATTTAATTCCAAAGCTAATTTTGATTTTTTCACACACAACAAATGTATTCATTTCTTAAATATAGATAAATAACACTTCTAAAGATGATAGTTTTGCACTTGACGTAAAGATCATCCGCATTGCTTTAAAATTAATCAGAACATTCCTTACTTATTCTGGCACTGTAGGAAAAAAAAAAAAATTTAAAGTAACAAATTCCTCAGCGACGAATAACAGTTACAATTAAGAAAAACAACATTGGGGAAGATTTTGACCATGCACATTGCTTCAAAATTAATATGAAAATACACTACTAAGCAAAACAACTGAATATTTCCTTAACCTTAAAAAAAACACTAGCATAGTGAACTCTGGACAATCACATTTGAGTTTGAAAAAAGGGGAAAAAATCAGTAAAGTTATTGCCAGGCAATGTCAATACATTTGTCCTCCTTGCGCAATCCTGATCATAACATCACATTTATTTTCGGCAAGACTGGATACAGGGTGTAAGGGCCCGAGGACAAAATTCTCTTTCCTATTCTGCAAGACTTATTAAAACTTATTTCCATATTTTGAAAGCTCTTTAAAAACCATGGTTTACTTTTGATTCTAAAAAATTCAATTTATAAATAAACTAAAATGTTAATTTTCAATAATTTAAAGGACTTATTTTTACTGAAACTAAATGCTTGTTGTTCTTTTATATTTTTTATAAATAAGTAAAAAATTTGAAGAATATTTGCTTTGATTGTAGAACTTAGCAAACATATATTTTACTGGCTAAGTTTGAAATCCTGTATTCTATAGAATGTCTAAGCATTGTATTTGCCTGAACTTAGCTGGCAATGTATGAACCAGTTCATATTTCACACATTTCTTAGGCATTCATTAAAATGCCAAATGAGAAACTGGCACAGTATGAAATACATCTGATTCATTTCAGATATAATTCAAAATGTCATTCAAGCCTACATGTTGAAACAATTAGGTTAATTTTAATTCTTAAATGTTTCCCTCAATAAGAAAAGCATACATTTTGTTTTGTACAACTTTCATTTTCTTTACATATTGTGAATAAGTTTTTTTTTAATCACATTCTCATTATTTTTTCAGAATTTATATTTTTGAGGAATGTGCCTCATAATTAGGGCTGCAAGTTCTAAACATTAAAAAATTTATTATATAAATGATGCAAAAGACAGAAATTGCGCAAATAATAAAAAAAAGCTTAAAAATGCACAACAAAAATATTTCTTTTAATTTCAAGCAATATTAATATTTTTATTTAAATGAACAGAATTTTCGTACAAAGTATTGTACATTGTCAGATTATTCTCATTTATCCTTCGTCTTTCATCACTTAATACATTTTTATACTTAGAAAACGATCTTTCTGCGTCAACGCTGTTTTTAGGCACCGACAAACTTCGAATTGCCACTTTTGCCAATTTTGGAGCGTTCGGTCTTTGATTTCCAAAACTCGATCAATTTTCCTTCACCAACGCGCAATTCCTTGACCGTTGCTTTGTAAGAAGTAATTGCTGTGAAAACTCAAACATTCTACATTCAAACTACTAGTTACAAGTCCCTACTAACTACTATTCCCCCCCCTTCATCTAAGAAACTGATCCATATTTAAGAAATCACAAGAAGCCGCCTAGGAAAAATTAACTGGATATGTAGAAAGGCAGTAGAAATTTCATTGCCCAGTGCAATAGCATGTATAACAATTTTTCTGTCAAAGATTTGATTTATAACATTTTCCTTCTTTTGTGATTCCAATTTCTTTTGTACTCTTACTGACTTCAGGAAGGTAATTACCCTCCCTAAGTGTAGAAAGACCACCTTAGTTGACAAGATTGTGATTATCTCTTATCTCTGAACTATTTTCATGTCATTTTGCTATTGATTCACTCCCCTAAATATCTAATCAATTTTGCATGTTTAATTTAAGGTTCAGGAAAATAAGAAATTCTGTTGAATAAAAATAATAAATAAAAAATGAAGAAGAAAATCAAATTTCAAGCAATTTTTGCACAAGTCAAGACATATTAAGAAATTTGAGGATTTTAGGAAAAAAGACGACAAGTTCGCGGAAATTCGCGTCGCGACAAACCTGCAGCCCTACTCATAATATATAATAGCCTTATCAGGACCGTCTCACCACTTTTTCTTAATAATATTTGTCATTCTATAGAATGCCTGGGTATTATATACAATGTCTACCAGAAAGTGTGCAATAATTTGGCTTTTTCATACTTAGCATAAAAACGTTTAACAATACATAAATTGCCCGTGTTTCATGCTTTGCCGCGTGCGGCAACATATATAAAAGAAAACTTCAATGTAATTAAAAACAAAATTTAAGAGCATTTTACTTCTGTTTAAGAAATCCAATTGGGTCCTCAATAATCCTGGAACCCAGAACTCTCTCACTCTTTGAGAAAGCCCTTTGATTATTTTCACAAATAATCAATCTAATCCATACACTCCATAGATGGCTATCATCCCTAATACTGGCAATAGAAAAAACACAAGAAATAGGTGCAGAGTGGTAACAAATCATCAATAAAAAAATCAAATTTACAAATTGTAAATTTCTTATTTTATATTATATTTTATCACATTTGTTTATTATTACACTACATTTTATATTACATCCCATATTATAAAAAAATATATAAAGTAATTTAACTATGTAATAAATCAAAATTTATCAGTAATTGTTATTCTGTATTGCTCTAAAGAAGAATTATGCTTGGCATGGAAATTTTTATAATATGCCTAAAAAGAGAGAGAAAAGTTGGTTTGATATTGATACAGATATCATACTAATGATCTATAATCATAGATGATATATAATTATGTTGTTACAATACAATACTGGGAAAATCAATAAAATCAACAATATTATTCAATGCCATTACTTGTCAACATATGATGTGATACACAGATTATGTGAATAAATTATATCTATGAAATGTAAAATATTTATATCATGGTAGATCAATTAATTATAATGGTAAATCTATTATTTAAAAATTTTTATTATGTGAAATAGGTTTTTTCTAATTATTTAGCATAATTAAGGTATTGAATGATTTTTTAATTTTTAACTGTAATAACTGTTTATAGCAATTTCTTTAACTATTTATTAAAAAAGAAAGTAATTAAAAAAAATTGTTTCTTGAAATTTTAACCATTATCAGTCTGTAATTTGATACCGACAAAATGCTATTGCTTTTTGAATAGTGGCCAGAATTTAATTCAAAAGTTTTATTTATATCACGATATTTAGGAGTACTTTGCCTTAATTCCAAATTAAACATTCATCAGTATATGATAAGTCAACTTCTTAATATGTGAGCTACATATCAAAATAACATCTTCATTATTTTATAATTACACAAATAAGAATATTTAATAAAATGTAATAATTTGTTGCTATAGCAATTTTCTTCTTTTTTAACTATATATTTTGTAACACAAAGTGATTAAAAACAAGTATAAAACTATGCTACATTTTTTGTTAGCTAATATAGGATAATACAAACCAGTTTATTTTAAAAAAATCAGGTAATGTCTCAACATAATACTTTCAAACTGGTTCAGGGTGGGTAGCCAAATCTTTCAACAAAAAATAAGCACCTGTTAAGTACTTTTTAAGCACTCAACAAATATTTTTAAGCACTATTATACATTAACAAAATGCAAATTAATTTTCAAAGACTTTACATGAACAAAATAAAATAACTAGTTTCTGACAAAGAACTATTTTCTTGGTTTTATTAGCCATTACAAAATGAGATTTTTTGGTTCAATATCATAGAGGGAAAAATGAAGCCTGAAATTGAGAAAATCTTGCAAAATGCAAAGAACTATTTTCTTGGTTTTATTAGCCATTACAAAATGAGACTTTTGGGTTCGATATCATAGCGAGAAAAATGAAGCCTGAAATAGAGAAAAACTTGCAAAATGCAGCTGAGTTGCACATGAAAGTGAAATAATCTCACCGAACCCAGCTCAGCAGACACACATGCGGACCCGCAAGTATTGTGTGGACTGTGGACAGACAGTATGTTGAAATAGATGGTAGTTGAATGATTTGTGAAAACGGTGAATAGAACAATGTGAAAACCACACTTTTGCATAATACGGGGCTAAAATCAACATAAAGAAAAAAATTCTCATTTTTGAAATTGGAAAATTAAGCACTTTTTAAAAACACCCAATGAAAAAAACACATTTAAGGGCTTTTAAAAAACCAAAATTGAAAATAAGCATCTTTAAGCACTTTTTACAAAAGATACGCACCCTGTGGCTTATATAAATAAAACTTGAATATTTAACCCGGGATCTTTTGATTATTTATTATAAATAACTGCTTCAGTAAGAACTGGCTTATAAATCAGCAGTGGGAAAATTGTATGCTATCTTTTCTTACGTCACTATGTTATAAAAGTTATAAATCGAGAAATTGTGATCTCACGTTTTTCACATTTTTTTACAAATAAAGAATCTATTTTATGCAAATATGTACCTTTTACAATAATTTATACATTTTCTATCAGTTCACTTTATCGATAACTTGATTTTATTTTTCGAGTTTGCATAAATATTTTATAAACGAACAGGACCAGCATTTATCAAGCAGGTTTCAAAATTAAATATTTATTAAGGAAAGGTCTTTTTTCCTTCATTAAAAAAAAAGCATGAAAGTTATCAATATTTTAATAGAAAACTATCAATTAGAACTTATATTAAAAATATTAAAATAGATAGTCAGTAGTAAAACATTATTTCAGTACTAATTATAAATTACAATTAAAATAAGAATTATACAATCTGTTCATAAAAGATATGACGTCAGAAGGATACGAAAAATAACAAAACTTGGCTATGCCTTGCAGCACCAATCAACCCCATTACAGATAAAAGAAACAGGAAAACACCACATGCTATTATTCCTCCAACAATAGTCAAGCTTGTGATAAAACTCGCAGCAATTCCGTAGGCAGCTACCCCAATCAAAGTAAATGATACTACCTAAAAAATAAAAAATTTCATAATATAAAACAAAAACCACAATAAGGTTTTAAAAGAAAAAGCTACTTCCAAAACAAAACATTTTAAATAGATACTTAAAGCTGAAAATATTTTTTTTAGCTTTAAAATTTTTTAACAAACAATAAAAATATTTTTTTATACATAAACTTTCAGTGAATTGTAAAGGTATTTTTATACATCATTTGCTAGAAAATTAGCAATAAAAGATTTGCAATAAAACATTAACAGAAACTTCTTGCTGCATTCAGAATTATGTTTAAAACTTAAAAAGAAAAAAAAAAACTAGAATGATGCTTTTATATGTAATTTTTTAGTAGTTTTTTTCTTAGTGTATCATAAAAACTATATTTTTTAATTGCCCAAGACAATGCCTATTTTATTTGAGACAAAATATTATTTATATATGAAAGAATGAATTGCTCTAATAACATATTAAACATTAGTCTGTAAAATGCTCATTCAGACTCTAATTTTTTTTAAAAAATGAACAGTTAAACAAAACAAAAACATAGCAATTTGATTAGTCAGACAAACTGCACAAAGACAGCATTACAAGTAGTTTTAGCTTTAGTGCCACAACTAGTAAATGACAATTCAAGATGAGATTGCTCATATTTATGTTCAAAATTTAAAAATTAAGTGCTCTTCTAGATTAAAATTTTATTGCTTTATCAATTCTCCATCATTTTTTTTTACCTTTCACTTTGGAAACACAGTTGTAGGTCATTGGCATTTGAAAGTGAGTGTAACACTTTTTTCAACCAAAACTAAAAACAATTTTATCATTTTTGACAACTGATTCTGTCCAAACTGTTAGATCAAATTTAATGTTTAAATAAAGAAACCTTTCAATGTGGAATTCTATACTTTTTAATTTTAGTAGACACATTTTATGTACGATGCATCATTTAGAAACAATACGGCAAAAACTAAAAAAAGTGTCTAACATTTCATAGTTTTTAAGCTCTTAAGATTTCAGCTTACATCAGAAACCACAGAAAACTCATATTATTCTTATTGAAGATGTCCTAAGAGAAATAAGATTATTTCCAGCTTCCGGAGAATAAGTTTGAAACACAGCATTTTTCTTACATCACTAGGCTATTAAAAAAAATATAAAACTTCATCTTAATATTTTTTTTAAAAAAATTCTCAATTTATCTCAGAATATAATAGTAGCTTCGAAATTTTTGTCAGTCAACAACTGTACAGCGAGAAGCCATGCTTCAGAAAGTTTTTAGAGCAATAAATATGTGGACAGAAAGCTTTTAGTCTTATATAACTACGTAGCTGAAAGAATTGCTTAGAAAAAGAAAAGAAAAATTCTTTTAACATTATTTCATTAGAAACTATAGGTCAAGTATTGTTTTTAACATCAGTTAATATGCATTAGGAAAGATTATTATGCAAAAAATAACATAGTTGCAAAATTGTTACCAATCTCATGAGAAAACTTTAAACCTTATCATAGATAAGGTAGGAGATATTTCGGCACCGGTACCAAAATCTTATCAACAAGGATTTTGAACTTGCAAAAATTCTGTAAAGGTTTACCAAAAAATTACAATGAGTTGGTCTTCCATACCCTTCAAGTTGCTAGCCGACTGAAATGTTTCTCCTTTTTAAGCTTTTCACAGGCAACAGCCTGTAAGTCTTTTGAAGTCCAAAACTTTGCAATTTGTTTGGCACAGGTACAGAACTTTATTCAAAAAGGTAACATGAAATTTCCATATTCATACCTGTTTGCATGAACTGAAATCACCACAGCGTCAAATAATATTGTGCAGTTGCTTAACTTTGAATAAATTAAAGAAATATATATAATGGTCTTGCTACAATGGTAGTTAGGAAATTTTACCTTTCAAGTTCGACCCACTATTTCTGTGATGTTCTTAAGGACCACAATTATTTTGACACTGGTACACAAATTTTTCCGGTTTCAATAGACTGTGTACATTTACTTGGATTATATAAAATAGGGTCAATTCGTTAGACTTTAGAGAGTCAAAATACCTATGAGGTAGCATACCTAGGCTTTAGAGAATCAATAGACTGAACACCTATATAAGAACCTATGCTTTGAATTGACAAAATTTTTTAATCAGGAGCAAAACTCTAAATAAAACAAATGTTTTAAATGATATGTTTAAAGAACGGGAATGATGTTTGAACACAGGAAGCACATATCTTTCCTTTCCCTGGAAAAACAATGCGCAGAACACAGACATTCAGCAACAGTTACTTTATCCAAAGATGTACGATATAGAATTTAAAATATAAGGAAAGAAAACAAAAGGATAGTAATTTTAACCCACGGAAGAAAGTAAGGGTTACAAAGTAAACAAAAATTAAACATCAGCTTAAATTTACTTCTTACCACGTAAAGTAAGTTTAAAATTATTAATGCATTTCTTGAGCACGTGAAGCCCCCACACATGATGATTGATAGACTTGTAAGTGTTGAAGTAATTGAAATTTGATACAAATTACGGATCTTTCAATTTTATATGAACAAAGAGAATCGACTTCAGATTGCAAAAGGGTTGGATATTAGCTGAGATTGCTATCTATTCAGCAAATTCGGCTTTTAGCTTGTGTGTTTGAGTCAACCAAAATAAACTATAGACGGCGCTAAAATATCGCATGAGAACCAGATTGAATTGAAAGAAAAATGGTAGTAGTAGTAGTTTATTTACGTCGCACTAGAGCTGCACAATGACATGCAACCGAAGACATGCAATCACAATTTTTTTCCTCTGCAGAGGAGATGGCAGCCCCGCTTCGGTAGCCCGACAACCTGCACGCGAAGTCGAGCACTTTACGGTAGAACAGTTTAACGAGGACCAATACCGCACACCCTCGGTCCCTACGCAGACTGATCCAAGTGGTCACCCACGCACACAATGACCACAGCCAGTGATGCTTGACTTCGGTAATCTGCTGGGAACCGTGTCTTAACGATCAGTTCACTGCGGGACAAAGAAAAATGGAATTTCTAGAAATACAGCAGAACCACAATTCAGGCAAAGCTAATCATTTTCCTTGGCAAACGCAAACCGTTGTTTCAGAAGTTCACTAGTACCACCCTAATGGATTCCTGAAACTGTTTGTTTATTTAGAAAATGTGAAGCGGAATATATCTAAGACACAACGCAAGCGAAATAAACACAAATGCATTTTTAGTGTCTCACTGTGTATAATTTTTCACATTCAAATAAGAATCTGATTGTTGAAATATTTTCATCAGCGTAAAACTAACTAACCAGGTTCACATTCACACGAGGGCGCCGAGACAGCCTGGTCTGTAGGGCGCTGGGCCCATGTCCGAGAGTTCGTGGTTCGAACCCCGCCGGACGAAGATTCCTCGTGTAGTTGGTGACTTAATGCACGCTAAAATTCTGTCGAGTCGCAAAGTCCTCCATCAAGTTCCCATAGCAAATCAATACCTCTGTGGATGCTGGATTGGAGATCGATCGTTCTCTGATTCAGGTCAAAATTACGCCAACCATCAACCAACATTCTCACGAGAAAAATTAAATCCGATGTAAACATCCTTCGTTTCCGATTCTATTTTAATGAATTTAAATCTTATAGTGGAAAGAGCATCTATATTCCTTGCTTTATTTGTTAATAATGCATTAGGTAAATTCAGACAGAAATGCAATTAAATAATTACGCTTATCGGTCTACTATATTGAATACAGCTTATAGAATAACTTTGTTCAGGAACAGTCGCTATCGTTTAAACTTACTCTAACTCAAGAATTTATTCTCTATTGCCAGTACGCTTTTAAGCCGCATGAATTCCTCCCCCCCCCCATAAAAAAATGCTTAACATGGCTATGCTTTCATACGATTAAATTTTTTGAACTTTCTATCCATTATGTTCGATAACTCTCAACTAACCCACGTAAATGCCTATAGTATTTATCTCATCGTAGTTTTTTCATATGTAGAAATTCATTCTCATAAATGAATGAAGGGTTCTGATTATACAACTCGTAGCTATTTGGCCAGGCCAAAAATTTGGAATAAAGGAATAGGAGGAGAATATAAAAATAAGACATGAAAGCGGTCGTCTGTACTGCAAGTGGAACTCTGCTTTAACTAGCTTTTATCCAGATAGAGCTCTTGCTCCGTGTTTCAAAACTTATTTAGATCTCATAGATTTGGAAATGAAGGCCGTGTCGTCCGCATATAATCAACACCTCCTAGAAGAACGACGGTCTCAGCACGGATCTATTTAGTAGTCCGACATGACGAACATAAACTGCGCAGTTGATGAAAGAGAAGAAAGATGTCACTACGTTTGGGCTACTAAGTTACGCAGTGGTGGAAAATACGAAAGATGTCATTTGACTACTAAAGGATCAAATTTCTTGTTTATGGTAACCCGTGCTTAGGCCTTCTCTTTTCTAGGAGGTATTGATATAATGCGACTATTTCAGTTATTTTTTACTGGAAAGTCAGTCGGGATTGAGCATTGTGGAATACCTGCAATAATTGGCCTGTAGTCTGAGAAAGTTCCTTTAATTTTNATTAAAAATTATTGCTGATAATAAAATCAACGTACATACTCTTTAGAAACATGATAATTCGTAAAAATTCTTCAAAAAAAATTTTTTTTTGTATAAATAATATTTTGCTAAATAATTATTTAGTTATATTTATTAATACCTCACAGTGTAATTTATTGACATTTTCTCATGAAAAAAAAAAAAAAAAAAAAAAAAAAAAAAAAAAAAANCTTATTTATTACAAAAAAAAAAAAAATAGAAATTCACCAAAATGCAAGGATAATGACATATTGGCTTAGAAGTTAAGAAAACAGTCATTTTAAGCTAATAGTAAGTAACTCAACTTAAGAAACTCGAAAAGACAAAGTTGAAAAGTTAATTTTAATTTTTTATGTAAATAAATTCCAAAACTAATTATTGTGAACAATTTGAACATGCATTCTTCTCGGCTTCTCGCTTCCCCCCCCCTCAGTTTATTTTTCCTGGATAGTTTTTAGGCCCCATGTTTTAAAATAACCTAGTAAAATTAATTTTATAATAATTTGCATCTGAAATTTTTTTATTATATTATTTAAATACAAAATATTTCAAATAATTTTATTTTACAACTTTATTACATTCTTTAAAATATACACCCATATAGAGTTAAAAGACTATGACAGAATTAGATTGTACAGTGATGTTCTTAGCTTATCCTTTAAAACGTTATCTTTGTGTTAGATGGACCATGAATTGATTAAATTAATTCTTTTATCTACTGTAGAAAGAATCAAAAAGGTTTTTGTTGTTGATACGTACAGAATAAAATTGCGTATAATAATCAATCATTAAATAAATAAATAACTTTGATTACATATAAGCATATTACAATCTTACATAAATACTGGGTACTATTAGGCTAATATTTGCTTTCCCTATTAACAATATACAGTTTAAAATTTTTTCTGGTAACTGGCATTCATTAGCCAGAAAAATGACAGCCAGGATATTGACAATTTGCCATTTTACAGCATTTAACTTTAATTTAACAATTTGGCCTAAGACGTTTACTTTCTGCAGAAAACAACAGGATTTCTTGAAATAACGCAGGTAAATCTATGTAGTTTATGTTATTAATGATTTCAAGAAAACAGGAAAATGACAACATAAAAACCTACTCACCTTGTAAAATTTTTTGAAATAGATTTTGAACCAGAAAGTTGGTTCTTTATTACTGAAATAAGACATGTTCTGATAGGATGATATTCTAACCAATCTCTTAACCTAAGATATTGATTGCTGGCCCTATCTATTTTGGCTATAAATTACTAAAAAAAAGTGGCCAGGGAAATGACTGATTTTCATGTGACAAACAAATTATTGACAGAAAAAGTTGTTTTCAACAAAGTTTTGGGAAATAATACCCTCTGCATGCATTCTAGAAATGCTTAGAATGGTTGAGATAATAATAAAAAAAAAAAAATAGATATTGAAAAATGTATGGACAGTTCTGAAGCTAGTTATTATTGGAAATATTGTTTGTGACATGCTTGGAAAATGAGATTTTGAAATTCAAATTTTTTTTTTTAAATATACAAAATAGTCAATGTTAATGCAAAATCATTTTAAAATGCAAACATCAATGCTATTTATGAATTTTTTTTTTTAAAAAAAAGTTCTTTTAGTAGTATAGTATTAGATCTTGGAGCAAAAGACTGTCAATTGTCGTATTTCGTGAGATTCACCCATAAATAAGATGGTTCTCAATTTCTACTTTGCCCAGAACTGATCAATATTGTTTATTTTTCATCATGCTTCCATGTTTAATATCACTTTTGCATAACTTTCGGAATAATTTTTTGACAAATAACTGGTATTCCGAACATAGATTTTATCTTATTTTATAACCGTTGGTGAACAGCCAACCCAATTTTGGGTTCAACTCCGTAGCCTTGTCATTTTGAACCAATCCAGAAGGCAAGGAAACTCCGGGATCAGTACCCCCAGAGGTATGATTTGTTATGGCACTGTTTCCCAAAGTGTCGTAAGCGTACCCCCAGGGGTACGCGTTCTTAGACGAAATATCTTCAACAAGCGAAAATTTCAAAATTTTTTATTTAAAAACAAAGCTAGCCATGAAGATTTGCGATTACGTATTTTTCTATTGGCTATTTTTTGCAGAGTTAACAGTTAATAATTAGTGGTGTCAACAGCCAGTTGTGATTTTTAACTTATGTGCATATTTTTTATAGTAAAAAATACATTCATTTTTTTATTAGTGATACACAGCGATACGAAAAATTTAGAAAGGGTACACCAAAGTCATAAGTTTGGGAAACACTGTCCTTATGGGAACATGGAGGACTTTGAGACTCAACAGATTTAACGTGGATCAGTCATAATTTACTACACGGGGAGTTTTTGGCCGGCGAGGATTGAAACCACGACCTATTGGACAAGGGCCCAGTGTCCTACCAACCAGGCTATCCCAGACCATAATAAGGATGCCCAGCTATTTTTCGCATAACAATTTAGATTCAAACTAATCCTAGCAACAAAATAACATTAATTTTTAAGTTTTCGATCATCCAAGATTTCTTTTTAATTTCATTTTGCATCAGAAAATTTATCATTTTTGAGGATTATAAGATAAACAGAAGAGGAACTCTTTTAGTAAACTAACACACATCTTGTAACGTTTATAAGAAGGAACATTTTGAATTAAAATTTATTTTTTCTGCTTACTAAAAAGACATGCAAATTAATATAAAATTTTTATTGAACATTGTGTTTGTTTCAAGCTTTGTATTTCTTTTTAAAAAAAAAACTTGAGTGTAGGATCAAATAGGATTTTTCCCCCCTTTCAAATATGAAAATTTAACAACTCAAGGCTGTATTCCTGAGCTTCTTGAAGTGAAATGCTCACTCGTTAGATTATTAGATCATCTTTATAAATCTTCAGATTTTTAAAGACTCTTAAAAATACATTTTTGCATAGCACCCCATACTCAGCTACAAAATTTATTGCGCATTGTAGCTTTTAAATCATATGTAACAAACATTAATTTCTTTAATGTAGATGTACATGAAAAAAATTAAACATACAATTTTAAAAAATCTTTTTATTTAATAAATTCTTAAAGAGTTCGATTGAAAAACATTGTTAAAACTCCTTTAAAAAGTGTACTAGGAATTTTATGAAACAAAAATAATACTGCTTGAATAAAACAAGAGAACAAATTTTCATAATGACATAAATTGTTGGACATTATGGAGAAAAACAATATATTAACAACATAATTTTCAAAAGAAATAAAAAATTAAATGTAACCAAGAGACAAAAACCAAATTGTGCAAAATACAGTGATAGTAAAATTGCAATAACATAATCTTTTTAATTACATCAACTTTCACAAGAAGCTCTTAGAATATTTTTAAAAGACTGTTTAATGCAAAGTGATCAACAGCTTTTCTGCAAAAATATCAACTGTTTAATTCTTATTAATCCAAGGTAGTAAAATTGAATACTATACATCAGTTCTTATTTCAAATTACAATTATTCCTTATTACAAGTAAAAAAGAAGAAGAAAAAAAAAAACACTACACCTTTTGCAAGAAATAACAATTTTTTTCTACAACAGAATTTTTATGTTACAAAATGTTATAAATTATTTACATATAATACATACAAAATAAATTATAGTTGGGAATAAAAACTTCTTTAAAAATAATAATGTTCTGCTAACAAGTATTTTTTTTTTGTCATTAAAATTTTATTTTCCCAATAAATATAGTTTTGTGAGTTAGTTCCTGAATATATAGCTATAGTGAATAAGCTCTACAAGTGCTTTACTAATCTTTATCCATTTTATATAACCACAAAATTTTTAATTTGAAAGTTTATACTGTTTAATTTTTTTTAGAATACTTAGAACAATTTGTATGAAATTCCTCAAACAATATTTTTCATCCTACCTGTTATATAAAATAGATTATTTCCAAAATATTAAAACATTCAAAAGGTATTTATTATTAAAAGTTGAATACTAATTAAAATGTTTTAACCTAACAATTATTTAAATTTTCCATAATAGTGTTCATCAACAAATGAAAATTTCAAATAAGAAACAGAATCCATATTCCAGAACTTGCAAAAAGATAGACAGATAGATAACAAATTTTTTTTAAAAAACAAATTAAATATTTTAAAAACTATCTAATTTAAAAATGCCAATAATACACAGTATGTAATTCTTCAAAAGAGTGCAACTTTAAATATCCTCTCTCATTTAACAAACACCACAACTAATCAGATATTTGATTAGTTAATGTAAAAAATATGAAAGAGAAAAAAGACAGAAAATAATAACTGGTCCTATGTTATTTTGCAGTGCTTATGATGAGATAAGAAATATAAATTTAATCATTGCAGCATATTTTCACACTCCAACAGCATTTTCTCAGTAACTAATGATTTTTATGAAAATATCTTTTACTTGATTGTACCAATTACATACATGGTAATTTTTAAAGCATTTTGTAATTTTATAACATTAGAGTGATTAAAATAAATTGTAATTTATTTCACTAATTGTAGATATTCTTATATCTTTTTAAATAATTTAAACTATTTTCACAGGCATGAGCACATAAAAAACAATTAATTTAAGGTAGAAATTCTTTTTTAAACTGAAAACTGAATTTGAATTACAATTTTTTCATTATGATTTTGTTGAACTACGATTAAAGCACCAAGATTTTGTAAATTATTATTTTCAACGGACAAGAAAAAGTGTGCAGTCAAGTTCATACTTAACTTTTGATAATAAAAATATTTACTAAAATATTAAAAAATGTTGCCAAAATGAGGCAAAAATGTGTATTGATCTCTCTACAAACCTACAATGAAGTGTCACATAACTAGTTAGATGAAGAAAATTGTGAAGTAACTTTTTTAGCTATATTGTTGTTGAAGCTATACCAGAACTAATAATATGTTGGAAATCATGCAGAATTAGTTTTAGGAGATTACCATGCTATTTGTAAGTAGGTAAAAGATAGCACATAATAATTATTATTGAAATACTTTAAAATAAAAAATATGGCATCATATATAAGGTTTTCTATCCACTTTCTTATTTTAAATGGCTTGGTAAAACAGGAATAACTTTTGTATTAAACTGTACCAAAGATTAAGAACTCTTAACAAATTGCAACATATGCAAACTTGCTGAATGAGCACACATAGCCAGTAATCAATAAAATGGAATGTTTGTATATTTTTAAATATCTCTTTATTTTCACTAATTGACATTATTTACTTCAATACAAAATACTATTAATGCATTATATGTTCTTTTGAGCATTTAAGGATACAACACTAATATTTTGTTCAAAATAAACCTTTTAAAAATATTGCTATAATCAGTTCTATTGGGCCAGTTGGCTAAACACAAACTACTTTCTATATGAAATTTGCTTAGAAAACCAAAAGTAAGCTTTCTCTGATATTTAAATATTACTCATTTCAGACCCAAATTTATCTTTAAAATATAAATTATGATAAAATTCATTCCTGTAACTGCTTAAAAAAAAAGAGTTATTCTGTAATTCTGACTTTCTTCTGTCATAAGATTTTTGTAAGGTTCAATTTGAGAAGGAAATACACTGGTAAGCCGTTTAAGATTTTTTCTCCCTCTTTCACAAAAAAAAAAAGAAGAATAATAAAAAAATAAATAGAGAAAGCTTATTTAATTTACTATATGTAATTTTTAAAGAAATACTTCTCACATTAGTTTAGAGAAAGCAATATATTGTGTGCCACTTTGTACATTACATAATTAATATTAATTTAATGCTCATATAGCATTTTTTAGTATTCTGATACCATTTAGATTTCAAACTGTTCAGAGTACATTGCACTCGAGAAACTAATTTTTGACTTGGGGACACTTTCTTAGAAATAAATAGAAATGTATATTCATCATGCAATCTTAAAAATATATGTAGGTTTTATAAATTTGTATAACTAATAGATAAAGATAAAAAAATCACCCATTGGAATGGTATTTTCATTTCAAAATTAAGCAAAACTGAAACACCAAAAGTTTGTTCAGGTTAGAAAACATCTTCTAATTATGGCTGTTATCCAAGACAATATTTATTAACAAACAATTAATTTTGCTCAGAAAGGGGGAAAAAACTAGTAGGCAAAAGTTTCAACTCAAAATTTGTCATGATTCATAATTATTCTAGAAGTTGATTCTGATAAATTCCTAAAAAATATTTCTCTAAATAAGACATTTTGTTTTTTAAAAAAAGAATGGCATTCTTTTAGTTGGTAAGAAATTGATGCTATAGCATTTTTGATATGGCTCTATTGTCAGATATGTAAATATTTTTAGAAACAACACTAACATTTAAAAAATTAACGTTGCAAGAAAGTAAGCAAAGGAAGTAACAGCAATCAACAAATGGACCCTAATATAAGAAAATACATCTGCTGCTGTAAAAACCGCTACTTAAATTTATACAAATTAGATTAAATAGTATGTGTAGAGAGAGACAATTATATGAAATTAAGGGTGTTCTTTCGTTATATAGATGACCTTTTATGCACTAGTTAAAATTCTAATTGAATTTGCATAATTTTTTCTTCATACCAAATATTGTTCTACAAAATAACAAAACTAGGAATTAATTTTTGTTATGGCAAGATGCGTATGTTCCTTAAGAGAAGTTAATAAGTACAATACCTTACAACCTTTTATAAATATTTACATGGAAACAGACACCATTTTTTATGTTATCTACATATTTAGACAACGTTTAACCTCATATGAAAATGCAAAGATCACAGAATATAAAAATAGGTAGTGAAATTATTTTATACCCATTACCAAGCACTATAATGATCAGGAACTATGCAACCACAAGTTCTTTAAAGATCCATTTCTGACCATTAGAGTTATCATTGCAGGACTGTAAATGAAGGCTTCCTCTTGAATGGCTTAGCTCCAAGCATTTTCTGTGTTGTTTATGGTATAACATCTTTTTAGTCTATTAAAAGATAATAAAATAGTCTCATTTATATATGTATAATTAATAATTTAGCAGTCTATAAAATGAGGCTGAAAGAGTAACAATTAAATAAATAATTAATCCAAGATAACTTAATATGCATTATTCAAAAAGACTATACACCTCTGCTAGTTATATGAATTTGAGATGTTAAGACTTCAACAACCATTAAGATTGCAAATATTACATTTATAAATTTTTTTACATACCATCAACAGATGCTATTTTGGCCCTACTCATTAAAATGGGGGTTAATTTGGTCCCCATTTTATTTTTAGTTTTAGGAAGATTTATTTATTTTTTATTTCAGGAGCTGAATACAAAAGGGATTTTTGGAAAAAGTAGTTTTTGCTAGATTTTGGCAAACATAGTCTCAATTGTAGCATTTTCTTCAAACTAGTCATTTTAGTTGCCAGTGGCAGCCCTGGTAAAGTGCTTGNTTTTATAATGGGTTAAAATTGTAAGTTCTGAAAATAAAATTGAAATAAAACAAATATCACAAAAAAAAATAAAAAATTTTCATTCAAATTTAATGGTGCGTTAACACACCATTGGCCGAATCCATGTTAAATAAGTGAAATTTGAAAATCCACTTTTTATGCAAGGTTTCAAAGTTTTATTAAAGTTTTGTTGTATATTCAGAGTTTTATTAGTTCTATTGTTAAGTTTTTATTTTTATTAGAGTTTTATTGTGCTGAGGCTAACAGTGTTCGACAAGATATGCCATAAGAAACAAGTGTTGTTCTGAAGTTGCTTAGTGTTGTTTCAATACCTGAGATGGAAAAATATAAGCTTTGATAACTTTCTCTCCTCCTATACTTTATTTGAAATTTTGAAAGAAAAGGCTTTCTTTGCATGTGGCATGTGGCAGCTTGCGAAAATCTCATAGGCGGTTGCATAATGGATGACTACACAAATAAGAAAAAAAAAGAAGAAAACATCGTGGTTCCTACGATATTGCTTTCAGCAAGGATACAGAAACATGTGCAATAAAATGGAACGACAATGCTGTGGTAACAATTGCTACTAATAACTGTGCCATTTTGTCACTTGTAAATGCCAAACGATACATTAGCAAAGAAAGTAAAGAAGTTTATTTTATTTATATCTATCTATCTATCTATATATATATAACCATTGTTGAACAGCCGAACCCAATTTTAGGGTTTACGACTTCTAATGTTCAACTCCGTAGGCTTGTAATTTTGAACCCAACCCAGATGACAAGGGAATTCCCGGATCAAGTATTGGGAGAAATTTGCCTTCGTGGAGTACTTTTTGATGGAACTAACCCGCATTTGCATTACATGGAGAGGAAAACCAAAAGAGCCTTCCACGGTTAGCCTGACTGCAAAGGGACCATGATCCATTTACCTCTGAGGATATTTCGTCAGCACTGTGGTCAGTGCCAGCCGGATGAGGATTCGTATCAACCAGCCATCACCGATATTCGAACCGGGTTTGCCTCATTTGAAGGCGAATGCTCTATTCCTTGAACTATCGCGGCTGAAGAAAAGAAGTTGTGATTTCACAACTCAACATTATTTTGGATAACAATAAGCATATGGCAGGTGTAGACCTGCATGAGAATACTATAGCTAAATACCGCATCGATTCAAGGTAAGAAAAGGTGGTGGTCACTATTTACAAACATCATTGATAGCGTTATAGTGAATTTCTGGAAGCTACATAGAATTTTAACTAGCTCAAAAATATCACTTATAGACTATAGATCTTATATAGCTATTGCCCAATTAAAATCTGAATCCAAGAACAATCCATTTGGTGAAGTTTCATTACAAGTTACTCATTCAAACAAAGGTTGCCCATCATCCGCAGCTCAACTAATAGAAGTATGGACTGATAGAATCGGACATACAATAAATGGGCATGGAAAAAAAAGCCAACAGATGATGTAAAGTGTGCAAAAATCACAAGAGTAATTTATTCATCAAATGCAAAGTCCATTTGCATTAAAAATGCTTTGAATGTTTCCATTAAAAATATAAGCGTTGAACTAAACGAATTGTTCATTGATTCAGCCAATGGTGCGTAAACGCACAATTTTATTTCTTAAATAAAATATTATTTTTCATGCACGAAACTTATTTTTCGTCTTAATGAATGTAATTTAAACACATTTCAATGAAAATAACATTGCATTTTACAAAATTTCTATCCTAAAATGGGGGTTAATTTGGCCCCTCAATTTAATTTTTAGTTTTAGGAAGTTTTATTTATTTTTTATTTCAGGAGCTGAATAATACAAAAGGGATTTTTGGAAAAAGTAATTTTTGCTAGATTTGGGCAAAAATAGTCTCAATTGCAGCATTTTCTTCAAACTAGTCGTTTTAGTTGCCAGTAGCAGCCCTGGTAAAGTGCTAGACTATACACGCATGTCACCTGGCCATAAATTTGGGGGCCATCCTTTCTGCTGAAAATTAAAATTTTGATTTCATGACATAATATGATCCACGGGGATCTTTTCCAAATCGTTGCCAATAGACCATTGTGAAGCACTAGTGTGACATAAATTAAGTACTATCAGTCATGTGCACCTTTTTTCTCATATTAAAATTGATTTTAACTACAGAAAATGATTTATGAAGATTGATTAAATGGATTCTTCAATTCATGTATAAAATATGATAACGATTCTTTTTTCTATTTGTATTGATCAGTTAAATATTTTGTAATTGCTAATCTTTTATACTTGGGAAACGAGGAAAAATACAAATGCAAACAAAATAGACTAGATTAGAATCAAGAGTAAACTCAAATAAAATTACAAAATTTGCATAATCCCAACAATAATTATTTTGTTTTGTGTAAATTGATTTTAGTGCAATTTTATGAAATGCAGTTTTAGAGAGAAATATTTCAAAAACTGTATATTTCGGCATAGTTTTGTACAGTAGTTTAGAATAAGATAAGAACAAATTTGGATAATTTTGCACCAAAAGATCCTTTTTCGGACAATTTGTTATATCAATCATGAGATTAGATCATTGCCTATGCAAAATTAAAAAAAAAAACATATTTGAAGAAGAGAAAATATCTAAAAATACAAGCATATTAAAGAAGAATTTTCTTACTTCATTATATTCCCATGGGCCATCCACAGTTCCCAGTGAGCAAAATACAAGTTTAACATGATCAGTATCCGCATCAACACAGCGTTCACCTACACCCAACTGACCTTCAGCATTTAAGCGGAAAACCTAATTTCAAAATAATTCTTTGAATGAAAAAAAAGAAACAAATACTTTAACAGAAGTTGTAATGAAATGTAGTGAAAAATGGGTATTTTCAAAACATTTTAAATTGAAATGCATCCAAATGACTAATACTATTTACTATTACATTTATTAATTATTATAAAAAATATTACTATTATATAGAAATTCATTAATATTTCAAAAAGTAGTCAATCATAATTATTTCAAGAAACATTCATTCACTGTTACTATAATTACAACTTACTTGCAGTAAACAGCTTTTCCTGTAAAGACAAGACTAACAAAATAAACATATTTAATGAAGAAAAGAGATTTTTAATTTCTGAGTTGATTAGATTAGACTAGTGGTTAAACATAATTAATAGTTCCTGTTGTCTATATCTTATATGCAACTGCAATAAAGTTGCTTATTTGACAGTTACAACAGATGATTAAAGGAGTCAGTCTCAAGCAAGTATGGAGTTGCAATATTTAGCATGCCAAAACAATCATGTTTATCTTAATTTTGATGGCATAATTTTGATATTTTTTAGAGGAAAAAAGAGTTTTTGACTGGAGTAGTAAATTTTTTATTTTTTAGTGATACTCATTAGTTAGAATGTCTATTATTAGTTTGGAAACAACTCTAAAAGCAGTAAAATGCTTTGTCTTCAAAAAAAAATTAATTAATAAATTTGAAGTTGACAATTCTGTAACAATAACCCAAGCATAATAAATAAAGAATAGTTGGCAAAATGAAAAATATGATTTGTAAAGTTGAAAGACATAAAACTTATTTCAATGTTTTCCTTGAGCGTTTTTATAAAAGGACGGCTGACTCTGCCTGCCCTTTGAACCCAATAAATGCGTCCTCTTTGATTTTTTTGTAAAAATAAGCGGCCATCCCAGAAAAATGCTTCTTTTTTGTTTATATTCCATTTTGGAAAAAAATTTATTCACTCTTTAAATAATAGTTACACTCTGGTAAAATTATCTGTGTTTATAGGTTTAATTCTGATTACAATTACAAGTATTTAGTTTGTAAGGATTATTTTCAACTGGTTAAATTTTTATGAGTATCTTCTCGGGGAGATATTAATAAATTTTTTAAGTTATTTTGAATTTTAAAGCTATTGTTTAAACAAATACTTTATTTTTTAAATGCACCTTTAAAGGCTCATTTCTTATAATTTTCAGTTTAAATTATAGAAAAAGCTTTCAACTTGCTTTTCAACTAATCATTTTTTGTTAGTTTATTATTACTATTTAAAAAAAAATATGCACAGCGATTGCTTATAATTATTTTTATGAACTACAAATTTTTCACTAATTTTGATAGTGGGAGAGAATTACTTTTTGAAATACACACATAAAATAGAATAAGAGGGTAATTTAAAAATCATTGAGGATAAAATTCAGTTATTATATAATATTACACATTTTGATAAATTTTTACAATGTTAAGTGAGCGCCCTTTCAAAACTTAAAGTGTCATTTTCAGAGAGGAAGTGCCCTTCCCTTTTTTATTCCTAGAGAGAACTCTTTTAGTAACATTTTTCTTAAAATATAAAACAATAATAAAACACAGTAAATTTTTTGCTGCAGAGCAAGTTAAATGATACTACAATTGTATAGATATTGAATTGTAAAGTGATAAGAGAAAAAACTAAAAATGAATAAAAAAAACATTAACTTATTAAGTCACTAAAGCATAACGTAAAAACCACAGACCAAATACTTTCTGTATTAGATATTCTAAAACCACCAAAATATTTATTAGACATACCTTTGTTTCAATTTCATAATAAACAACCTATAAAATTAGTAATTGATATAATGCCTTGCACATTAATAAAAAACTAGTGAAAGTACAATAATAATATACATATTTATACATTTCGAGATAAATACTCATAAAAGAAACAGAAGTAAAATTTTTGGAATCCGATTTTTATTTATTTTATTTTTGTAAAAACTCACTTAAGCATTCTACCTCCTACCTGCTTTATGTTATACTGCTATATCAAGGACTGCTTCCAGATTATGCTAACAAAATTATTTGTCATTTTTTTCACTTAATATTATTTAAATTCAAAGAGGATACTTTTACAGTATAAAACTTTTGAGAATTTACATCATGATTTAATAATACTGTCTTTCAAATTTATGGGGACTGACATTCACAAAAACAGGCAATACAATTTTCAAACAAAAGTGCATGCTTGATAAATTTATTTTATGCTGCGAAAAAAAAGTTACACAGATTATAAAAGATTAAATATCATGACTAGGATTTAGATAAAAATTTAGGGGTCATTTCATTCTTCCTTCATTCAAAGGGAATTTGAGGTGTTTTACATTTAATGTGCCTTAATATAAAAGGAAATAACAGTTAAAAATAATATCTAAGGTTGCTTTAATGAGGGATGGCACTAACCACTAATGAGTATTTTAAAAAGCAATTTTTATGACAATTGATACACACTAATTGAAGTACTAAATACAATTTTTGTTTCAGGGAGATCATTGTTATTAAACTATAGGCTCTTTTGAAAAAGAGCTATAAATGGCAGGAATTTTCAAACTGCTGCATAAATTTAAATTTATCGTGGAGTTTTCTGAAATACAAGAGTAAAAAGTGGTTGAAAAACATTTTATGTCAAGAATATTAAGCTTATTTGAGTAGGTTTTTATACGTGATAAATGAAACAAATTTAATGATAAATTGAAAAAATTAATCTAATTTTTAAGTTCATAAGTAAAGTTTGGAACCTTTAAAACTTAAAAGTACACATGAAAATATACATCATTTGGAATTTAATTTTAATAAATAATTGATTAAAATATTACATACTTGATTGCCACCAGAACCATGGCAGTGACTCATGCCGACAATAGAAGGTGGTTGTGAGCTCATGGTATCCATACACTGCCCAGTAAGCATACTCCTTACCTACAGAGAATTAAAATCACTTATCAGACATTTTTAAAATTATGTTCATTTTAAATATTGTTCTAAAGTGAAGGATTGCATTTGAAATGTAGGGGTAAAAAATTTTATTGTCTAAAGTTAGTTTAGTGTGAAGATTTTTTGAATTTTCTAAAACTTTGTCCCGATATTTTTTACTTGGGAGGTTTCAATTTAAAACATCCACATTATATTCCACTAAAACTCAAGTCTGTTCATCACCTGTCGGAAATAAACTTTTTGCTAAGCAGCTCTAGATTAAACATTCTGTCTTCTCTAGCATTATTCTGAATGCTTAAATTCTCATTAACCTCACAGAATGAATGAAAAAGGAATATGCATTTAAACTGTAAATCAGTAAAGGTAAAAACAGTGCTTGAACTAGCCGCTCAATATTGTTATTGGTCATTTTCCCTCTCTTTTTCAATTAATCTCAGATAAAGGATAAGAAACAAATTGTTACAGATTTGCAAGATTAATAAAGTGGTTTGAAAAAATTACAATTTAAATATCAGTTAGTTAACATTTTTCAAAGTAATAAGGTGGTCACATCAACAAAGATGTCAGCCATTAATAACTGATAACAGCAGTTGATTGCTCACGTTTGTCTGTTTCATTAAGAGCACATCCCAAAATCGGCTCTTTTATGGATTAATTTTATTTAAAAACAATTCGACTAAATAATGAAAGTAGCTAAAATCCTAAAAGAACTGTAGAGGCATCTTTAAAAAAGGTTTTGAGCTAATTTGAAATATGAAATATTTTAAATAAAACAATCTGTCTTAACTTTTAAAATTTCGAAGTTTTTATTTTTAAAAAAAAGTCTAATTTATTATTATCCTTATTCGAAAAAAATTAAAAATATTTGCAAATTGCCCTTTGAGGTAAATTATCACCGATCCATATCAGCCTTATGTTAAAGTAGCTGTAAGTGATTAAATACAGTTAAGTAAGTAATACAATTAAGTAATGTAATTTAGTAAGTAATTAAATGTAAGCGATTCTGTTTAAGTATTATAGTGCATCAAATACGACGAAAATCGAAAGAGAGACATGTAAAAAGTTACAATGTGTCCCTGGAGTGCACAATTTTCTGTGGTAAAAAAGCAGGGGGAATAAAAGAAAAAAAATTAGTGCACCAGCAGATTAATATATGGAAAATTAAACTAAATTTTTTTTTTCAGCATTAAAAATGAAAAAAAAAAAAGATAAAAATAATTTTAAGTATAATTGATTTAGGAATTTTAATTCTTTGTTGAATTATTATTACTAAATCAACATGTATTTCTTTCAAATTAGGAAATATTTATTCCTTATGTATATTTTCACAACAGAGATTTGTATTATTTAAAATAGGGATATACTTTTAGTAATAAAAAAGGACCCAGAATTTCAAAAGTCATGTGTCCTAAGGACCCACGGATTCCAAAGTCTAGTGGAATTACTGGGCGCTGAAATTGTAAAAATAAATTTAATTTTTAAAAAAATAAATAAATTTGAAATTTCATGCAGTATTAATATGAGAGCAAAAAAAAAAAAAAAAAAAAGATGTTAGTTTTGATTAGATTATAAGCTAAAATAACTCACTTCTCCCCAAAACAAATTTTTTGGTAATAGAGGGAATTTGTATAGCACATCATATGCTACATTATCCATAAACCACTTGAAGGATTTACACTGAAGACGTTCTTTTATGGCTAGTTGCCCACTAATATCACCATGATCATATTGCTTAGCTATAGGTTCTCGAATGTAGAAATAATCTTTATAATCATCCATCCAAACTTCCACAACTCGTTTATAATTCTATTTCATAAAAAGCAATAAAAATTATAAACATATTTTTCTTCTGCTCTTTCATAACAATAATTTAAATACGTTTGTAACCATACATTAAATATATAATTTCTTAAATTTATAACTGTACACATTAAATACATATTCACTGAAATACACTTTTATCTACTTTTAAGAAAAAGAATTTAAATACTCTGTAAGCAATTTATGAAATATATTTTAATACAGGTTTAAGTTCTAAATTAAAGAAAATGATTAATTGGAATTAAATTTTGTGTTTAAATATTACATGGTATAACATAAAACATTATAACATTTAACATAATAACATTTTGTATTATAAAATAAATTTGAACTATCATTTTTTACACATTTTACTTCAGCTTCAAGTTAAATAAAATATGCATATTTTTTCATATTAAGGCATGAAAGAAATATGCAAAGCTTATAAAACAATTTGTATGTTTTATAAGCTTTAAATTGTTTTTATCTTCATTTTAAATAAATTTATACATTAAACTCATAAATTGGAGGACTAACAATCATTAAAATTTAATAAAAAATGTCTTGATTAGTATAATTGGTTATGAGTATACATTCCGAAATTGCAAAACAACATATAGATTCAGTTATTAAATTTGCAATTATTTTAACTACATGATCTTACATGTGATCATCTAATTTCCTGAAAGGGAAGTTTCTTAAATAAATATCTTAAAAAAATTAGCTTATTCTGATACAAAATATATTTTGGAGACAGATCATGCAAACTGGTTTACGTATATAATAAATTAGTACCATTAATTCAGGATATGTGAGGAAATAAAAGATTTAAATAAAATAAATTTAGCAGTCTTTGAATGATAAAAATGAAAGTTTATTGGAAAGATGATATTGACTGAATGAAAAGATGAAATTTTAAATTAAAAAGAAAAATTAACTACCACTTAATGGGGGAGGAAGAGATAGAAGTCTCATATCTTATAATTTTTATTCATCTATCTTTAGCTGAAAGAAAGATGACATTGGTCGAGTGAAAAGAAGAAAGTTAAAATTAACTACCATTTGATGGAGGAAGAAGAGATCCTAGTCTAGTATATTATAATTTTTAGTCGTCTATCTTTAGTTGAACTTTGTGATTCCTGATTCAATGAGATTTAAAAAGAACATGTTTAACTTTTTTTTTGTTGAAAATTTAAGATAATTGACAGATAATATTTCCTTTGTTCAAAAGTTAAAATTTAAAAAAAATTTTTGATACTGAAAAAATAATAACAGATAAAAAGTAACAGATAAAAAAATAACAGATAAAAAGATACAGAAAAAATAACAATTATAACAGAATAAAAACCAACACATTATTCCTACCAAAGTAACTAAAGGTCCTTTTCTTTGTTCAGCTAGCTTGCCAAAACTATATGGCATAAAACCACGATAGATGTGACCAACTCTTGAGCATGGCACCCATTCAATACTACCACCACATTGCCATATCTGAAGATAAAACATTTTTTTAAAATTTTTAATGTTACAATAGCTATACAAGAATTAATTTTTTTTGTGTATAGTTATTTTTAATTAGGAAACAGTAAAGCAGAACATATTTTGAATATTTTATGAATCATCGCCAAGAAAAATAACGCAACAGTTAAGCTGAAATTATGATTTATAATCGCTCAAGCATTCATAAAACTTAAATAATGATAATACTAATTTCAACTTATTTGTTAAAAGTTTGTAAAAAAAATTCTGACTAATTGGAATTTTAGGAGAGCTCCTTGTAGAACTTATTTCTGGGAATAACATTTGGTTTAAAGGATCTATAGACTATTATACTTTGGTAAAAACAATTTTTTTTTATTATTTATGAATACATTAATTTAGAGTTTGAATTAAGAAAAAATAACAAACAAATACAATTTTGAAGACGAAATAATTTTACCTTGAAAGATAATTCAAAATTTTCTCCACCCCATACAAGCAGACCAGGATCATAAGCTCCAAGTTCCAGAAAGTATTCTCTATTGATTGCAAACAAACCCCCAGCATGTGTGGGTGACCTAAAATAAACAAGTAAGTAAAATAAATGATATGCAAGTGAAAACGCAAACTCAATTTTTGACATTTTTAGTAGAATTCTGTAGAAACATGATTAGTAGATTAAAGTTATTATTTGCTTTAATATATTATGAAGACTTAATAAAACAACGATATAAAGTTAATTAAAAATTTCATAAAATACTAAAAAACATATAATGTAAAGTAAATAATCAAAGCCTCTTTCTCAGCATCTACAGGAAAATATAATAATTTTGTAACATACTACAGGAAGTTCAAAATTACGATCAGTGTGTAAAATATAGTTTGGAGAGGAAATTTGAAGAAACATTTTTATATTTTGGGTGCTAAGTAGAAGGATAATCTTATACCCCATGGAGTAGTTCCATATTTTTTTTTAAATGAATAAAAAATTAAAATAATTTATCAATAGGTAAACTATTATTCAAAATAATTTTGAGCATTTGAAATAATTTATTCCAATTTTCCAGTAATTTATTTTTAAAAGTTGTTATAATAGTTTTCTTATATTACTAGGAAATGTATGACTAATAAATTTTGTAATAAATAGTTAACAATGACAAACTTGTAAGGTTCACTATGATATCTTCTTCTTCGCTCTTCCTCTTCAGGTATTTCAATTTCTTTGTAGAGCATTCCCCACTCGAATATGCCTCTAAAATGTTTTTCTCCTTGATAGACTGGTCGGTATTCAAAACTATCTTTATCAATTCCATCAATCACTGGTACAGTCATTACAGTTCTGCAAGAATTCAAGCAAATTTTAAAAATTATGATTTTTAAAATGAAACACTATATAAGAGAGAGCAAATATCAACATATTTTTTGCCTTGAGTAAGCTAGCTAAAATTTCACTGTACATGCAAATTGATAATAGAATTAAATAGAAAATAGCTATAGTTTCATTGCCCTTTTGATTTTGACTCCAACATTTTTTATTCTAAAAAAAAAATCTAAATTCTGCTAAATTTATTTACATCAAAGCGTTACATTAGTATTATATACATATTATTGGCATTATAGTTATGAGAAATTATTTTATATGTCAAATTAATTGAGAAAGGACAGGAATATACAGGAATGCTCTTCATTATACAGGAATGCTTTTCATTAAAAAAACAATAAAAAAATAAAAATTCAAGGTGGGGCTAGATGAGAACAAATTACAGTTTTTAAATGTAAGAATCATGCTCATGAAAGCAACACAATAGGACACTCAAAAGACTTTTATAGTTGTCTACATTTGAAATGTAAGTTATCAGGTAATCAATTTCACAATTGGAAAGTTTCTGTCCTCATTTAACAATATTTTATGCAATAATAATTTTTATGCATCAAATATAAAAAAAAAATCTTATTGTTATAAAAGCTACAAGATTTTCATGTCTTTTACAAAGCTTAACTACTAGTCTGAAAGACGATACCTACTTTTAAACCTTGGTCATATAATCACATTTTTAAATTCATGAAAATTGAACTTGTACAAAACAATTTGATGATCTGCAGTACTAAAACTATTTCAAAGGTCAATGATTTCGGCTGTTGTAATATATTATTTCTGCATCAAATTGACTGTCCAGTTTAGCAGAATGAAACTATGGTAACTGAAGGTGGTAATCTCAAGACAAAATCGAATTCTCTGAGATTTCTAGAGTAAAATTAGTAAGCTTTGCATATTGTCAAGATTTAAATTACATAAATTTTCAAGAAATTGAAACGTTTGCAAATATTTTAATATGTATTAAGACTTTGTTTCTAAGTACAGTAGAAAAAAATTTAAATTAAAAATTTCAATTTTTCAAACTAAAATTGTTCATAATTTCAAGTCTAAAATTTTTGTTATTTAACAAAAATATTTATGATTTCCATAAAAATCTTTTATTATTAATTTTATTACAGCAGGGATGAGATTGGCCAAAAGACAAAAAAGCTGAATTTCCACGTGAGTAAATTTTACGAGTGTGCTTTAATAATAAATTCCAGACAATTTAAGATAATAATTAAGTATGTGTTGACATAAAAGTGTGTACTTATTTATTAATATATGAATGATAACATCGATACTTAAGATTTAGTAAAAAGTAAAATTATCAATTGAAAAAATAAAGCTAGAAATTATATTTTACTTCAGTTCACATAAAGGAGACAAATATTACTTTAGAAACTAACTAGTGTGGTGGTTGGTTGTGTCCAGGAGATGAATAAACGAAGTTTACATTTTAATTAGTATTTATTTTAATATTTAATTATAACGAACACAAGGGAAAACATGAAAGTTAGAGCAGTGCGTCTACAATGGCGGTTAGGCTTTTTCTTCGCGCGGAATGACAGAGACAGTTACTGATCGTAACTGTTGCGGTTACGATTAAGTTAAGTTCAGTCGCCGCACTAGTTTAGCAAATTAAAACTACTGAGAACATACATTTACATTCCATTTCTCTTAAAAAATGCTATTAGATGATTTATAGCAAATATATCAGTAACATGACTTTTTAAATGATTTAGAAAAGAAAATATATCAATAACTGTGAAGTAGAAACATATAGTAGCTCCTTAACATACAAAAATTGCTATTTTAGTTTGAAAAATTGCATGATAATCAGCAACTGGTTACATAATTATACAGTGCAGAACCTCTTATCTGGAAATCAGAAAACCGGAAAACCAGATAACCGGAATGAAATTCGGAACCGGAAATTAATTTTCGTCCATTAAAAAAAAATTTTTTTCCTGCAAGATTTTGAGCCCTTTTTGTTATTTAGAGCGTACGGCATATCGAGTTGACAAAAGAACTGATTTAGAGGACGGATCAAAAGCCGTTTGTAGACGAATCTGACATAAGCACAAATAGCTTATATATGTTATTAATGTTAATAATAACATTAATAACCAGGGTGGCCACTCGAATCAGATTTCAAATTTCCCTGATTTCTCCAGGTTTTCCAGATAAAAATCTTAAAATTTCCAGGTTTTTGTTTCTTTTTTCTTATAAAGTATAGGATGTGTACAAGAAAAGTGTCTATATTATAAAATATTTTATTCAAAATGTTACTTTTTTAACATATCATACTTGAAAAAAATAATTTATTTTGNGAAGTGTGAGGAAGCAAAAGTTCTGTCACTTGTTGTAGAGCAGACAAATTTGCTGTGACCCCACCTTCACTCATTTGGGACTCTATGATCCTCTCTAGCTCTTCTCGAAAAACTTGACTGAAAAATAAAGTGAAAAAATTTATAATAAACATTTTCTACTGAAAATATATGAAGCCTGGTGAATCTTAGGTTTTACCGCTTTTATCAAAGTTACTTGGTAAAAATTTGAAGTATGTTTTACTATGATTCCGTTCCAGACATCTATCAAGCCTTAACCAAAGGAGAGAGCATTAGTTTTGCAAAAATTCTTTTTTTTCATTTGCCTTATGTTAATTTTTTCTGACAGATTAGCTAAATTACTTGGGTTAGTTAAAAGTCAGCAAAAACACTGTATTAAACTATAAGCTTTCCACACAAAAATATTGAAATAAAACTTTTAAAAACAAATATCATTTATAGAGAAAAAAACAAATACAGTGCAGAACCTCTTATGCGGAAATTAGAAAACCGGAAAACCAGATAACCGGAATGAAATTTGGAACCGGAAATTAACTTTCTTCCATTAAAAAAAATTTTTTTTTACTGCAAGATTTTGAGCCCACTTTGTTATTTAGAGCGTACAGCGTATCGAGTTGACGAAAGAACTGATTTAGAGGACGGATCAAAAGCCATTCGTAGACGAATCTCACATAAGCACAAATAGCTTATATATGTTATTAATGTTAATAACATTAATAACATTAATAACATATATAAGCCTGTATATAATTTTTATTTCATAATTTCTTTCCTTATTTAAACTTAAGTGTATTATTATTTATCATTTTTTATTATTTCTAAAACTATTTCAAGTGGAATTTTTTAGTTTCGTTTTATAAACATTAAAAAAACGGCATTTTGTAGCGATTCAGAAAACCGGAAAAATCAGTTATTCGGAATCGCGATGGTCCCGATCGTTCCGGATAATCGGTTCTCTACAGTATTTTATTTTATATGAATTTTGTATTTTATAGAATAAATAACAGCAAATTTTTTTTTAAAATTTTGGAGCTGAGTTAATTAATTCTTTTTCCAAAAAAAAAAAATGTGAATCACTTTTTAAATGATTGCTTTTGTTTGCTATATCTTTATGTTAGTTTTTTTTTTGTTTTTTTAAATATCTGACTGCTGCAAAAGCTTTATGTTTCACAAAACAAGCAAAAAATCCTTTAACAAGGTCAAATTGCTAGCAATGCAGCTTGTGAATGACAGGTGCTCCAGTTTGGAAAAGTTTTATATATTCTTGTGGTAATAGCAAAACTGACACAAACAGATTGGTGATTAATTTAGATGTTAGCCCTTCTTCGAACATCTTTTGACAAATCCTATTTTTTCATTCTTTACCTGCCTGTGTAACATTCTTCTTTGCAAGCACAGAATGTAAGTTTTGAATGTATTCTCTTCCAGTTTCTCTGATGTTGCAATGCCTATATATACTAATAATCATCGATCGAAAAACAATCACCTTTATAGTAACTAGTTCAAGAGATAAACTTACTTCTTACAAAAATTGAGCTAATTGATTTTAAAATCGCGTGAATACAAATACTGATCTCAGATTTTAAAATCGCGTGAGTACGAATCACGATAATGGATTTTGAAATGACGCGAATATGAAACTCGATATTCGATTTCAAAAAAGAGAAAATACAAACTGCGATATCTAACTTTTAAATCGCGTTAATACAAATCACGATTCACAATTCTTAGATCCCCTAAATGCGAATCATGATGAGTAATTTTTAGATTGCACAAATAAGAATCCAAATGCCTTATTCTTAAATCACATATAAATACGAAAATCGATGTTTGATATTATAACCGTATGAACGAATCACGACATTGGATTTTAAACTCGTGTGAATATGAATCAATACATAGGTTTTTAAAAACGAATAAATACAAATCGTGATAGTGGATTTTTAAACCACAATAAGAATCGTAATGTACGATATTTAAATAGCGTGAATAAGAATTGCAACACACAACTTCTAAATCACGTAAATACACAAACCTATGTTTGATATTAAAATCCTGTGAATAAGAATCGAGATATTAGCAGATTCTGGGTTTGGGACATCTAAAAGGCCTGTTTGAAGAAGCGACGCCTGAATGACGAAAATGCGAGCTATCTGGCGGGAGGGTAAAAATGTGCAAAAATCTTATCTTCTGCACGTAAAAGTGGAGAAAATAGCTAAAATGTGCAAAAATCTTATCTTCTGCACGTAAAAGTGGAGAAAATAGCTAAAATAAGCAAAAATGCAGAAGGGTTGGCAGCTATGTAGTTTGAATTTTATATAATTAATTTATTTCAGTGGCTGAATTTTCTGTAAAAACAGAATATTTATTAAAAAAAAGGTGAAACTTTTAGAGAATCAGAGTTTTCAATAAAAAGGCTGAAATTCAAGCGACAAAAGTAAAAAAGCAGAAAAATCTCATCCCAGTTACAGGCTTCAAATGGAAAAAAAATAAAATAAACGGTTTTTCAAAAGCAATTATTGCTCCAACATTTAAAAAAAATTAAATTTTAAGTAGGAACTGTTTGAAAATGAATTATTTATTCAAATAGCATTGATGACACGAAAAACAAACAAAAGTACTACTAGATAAGTTTTGAAAGTAGTTACATAACGTGAAAAACAGTTTGCGTATAATGATAATATCATATTCATTGAAGTGAATATGATCAACAATACTGTTAATTGATGATATTTCAAAAAATTCCAGAGTTGAGTATATATTTCTTTGAGAATTTTTTAAATAATATTTTCAAATTCCTTGAGAATTTCAGGTTCTCCTGGTTCCCGAAGTGGGTAATCACCTGTAAGTGCACAGAACTGGGCAGATATACTGTGTATGCACGAGACTTGAAGTATACACTATTGCGCAGGGATGTGAAGATCAATCCTAGGGCAAATTCTCAACAAACAACATATACTGCTTTTAAAATTGCTTGCAGGTTTTTTTTTTGTTTTTTTAAATATAAATAATATATGCTACAAAAACCTGCAATGCAAATGTGCAATTTGTTGAAGCAGAATGCAAAGCATAGAATAAATCAAAGCCATTGTTAAGAACATTTATGAATAATGCCTCAATCATGAATCATTAGACTCTGAAAGCATAAACAGCAATAGTACAACACAATAGTTCATTAGAACTGGTGATCGAAATGGGGTATAGATGGCACAGAGCAGAACTCTGTATCTATGACAAAACTTTTCATGGACAGTCATAGGGAAAGGAAGTACATTAGTTTCCAATTTGATTTTTAAATAAGTCAAAAACTTTTAGGTTTTGAAACTATATGGAACTCAATGCTGCATTAAATATAGTTCTTAAGCGTCATGGAAATTTTATAAAATATTTTTGACCATTAAATACAAAAAATTCTATGGAAGAGGAAAATATCGCAGAATATTCCCATACAACCGAGAAGAGAAGGAGAGGGAAGGGTCAAGACATGGAACTGGTTTCCTTCACTAATGGCGTACTCAAGCCTTGCAAGAAACTAAGTAAAATATAGTAAATAATAAGAAATGGAAAATTTAAAGACAAGGAGAAAATAATTCAAAGAAAAACAAAATTTATGTTTTAAATACAACACACTTCAGTTACAATTAAAAGCACAACATAGAAATGAAAAATGATCACTAACCTATTTGTATAGATGGGGGCTAACAATGGTGGCAACCAATTAACATTCACTTCACAATGAGCATCAAGGAAAACAATAACTTCACCCTTTGAGAATTCTGCTCCATATGTTCTTGATCTAATTAATCCTTCTCTTTGCTTATTTCTTGTTAAGCGTACTTTTTGTCCAAACTGTCGAATATAATCTTCCAATTCCCCTTTCAGGTTTTCTAGTGAAAATTTAAACAATAATAATAATAAAAAAAAGATAACCAATATAGTGCAATAACAAATGTTATCATATTGTGTTCATGATATTGCATCATAGTCTTCCAATTATGAAATAAACAAATTATCAATAAACTTGTGATCATTTGAAAATTTTGCTCTTTCTTCTTTCAAGAAAATTTCATTTATTAAAATTTGAAAAGATTGAATAAATGCACTAAATACTGTAAATAGAGCTCAGGGACTCAACTAGTTTAAAACTTGGATGCACAAAAACTTAAAGAGTGAATATCAGATTCTATAATAAGTAAAAAAAAAAATGAAAAAGTCTTTAAAAAAACATTAAAACTAAGTATTTTTATGAAAAAAATTGCAAACAGCTTTTATATTAATTTAACATAAAATAAATAAATAGAAATAAAAAAAAATACATAAATCATTAGACTAAATTTTACTTTGCCATAAAATTGATTGATTTAATTGTTCAAATTTACATTGAATTGGATATTTATCTTGAGAAAAACTGTTACATTTTAAAGTGACTATTTAATATGTTTGTTACCTTTAGCTATCATATTTCATTGCTTTAGTTTTTTTGGTAATAACAAGGAAAAAAAAAGAAGCTTTATTAGACAAGATAAAAATAATTCATTGAGCTAAATTTTTAATAAATCAACAAAAATAACTATTTTTCAGCAAATTACCTTTTTCACTAAAATCATCAACCAAAACAACCTCCTTTAAAAATTCTGGAGGTGATCGATTAATAACACTATGAACAGTTCTCAGTAATGTTGAAAATCCCTCATTATGAAAAACAATAATGACACTAGTTGTGGGTAAATCTTTCGGATAATGCCAATATTTACACCTGGAAAGTAAATGTCAAATGAAATACATTCAAAAAGTTAACATATACAATAAACAAATATTTTAATAAATATTACTTTAGCATGAGAGTTTGAAATTTACCACAATTCAACATCAAACTATCACTAAATAGAAAATAATTTTTATTTTCAATATTCGCTAGTTAGTTTTCACTTTCAATTAAGTAAATAACTCTGAAATAATATCATTTAAATATTGATAGCGATAATAAACTGCTTTAATACTTTTGAAAAAGATTGTTTGATGTTAAAAAATAAATTATTCAACTTTGGTTGAAAAAAGATGCCCGGTGGCTGAGTGGTAGCGCTTCACACTCCCTTGCCATAGGTCTTGGGTTCGATCCTTGGGCCTGGCAGGATTGACTCAGTCTTTCATCCCTTCAGTGGGTCAATAAATGAGTACCAAGTATGCTTGGGAACTAAACACTGGGGTTTCCGAGTTCAGGTGAGCACCGGACCAAAACATCTGCTCCTGTGTCCCGGAGCCCAAGGTCAAGAAAACTGAGATGGGCACAGTAGGCCTTGGCCCTCTATGGGCTGCAGCGCCACTGAGTTTAGTTTTTGGTTGAAAAAAACTTGCCTTCCCTATGCTTCCTAAATGTCAAATTTTGTTTTTCATAAGTACATGATTATAAAGTTATTTCTCTTGTGAAAATATTCAGATAATTTTTTTAATTAAATTCTCATAGCTGAAAAACTTAAGTTATAAAAGTTTAAGCTGATACTAAACTGACTGCCCACATGTGATAAGCATAGAGGAGAGAGCTTCACTTTTTTCCCGTTACAATGTTTATGTTTACCCCATAAGACTGAGAACTAACAGCTTTTTCGTTCCTCTATGAAATAGATATACCACAAAAACAAATTGAAAATTTGTAAGCTACAAATCGTTAGTGATTGACCCCTTTCACATGGTGGATGCTAGAGGATGAGGGTTTGGACAGCAAGAGGACCACCGGTCGGGCCAGCAGAAGTGGGGGATAAGGAGTGATCGATTTATGAGAAGTTAGAATGTCGAACGCCTTATCTTAACAATTTGTTCTTGTGGAATGTAACATTTCTTTCAATTTGTTTTTTTAGGACATCTACTTCATTGAGGAAAGCAAAAGCTGTTAGTTCTCAGCCTAAGTAAGATGATCTATAAAGCAAAAGAAAGAGGCTCGACTGGTCCTATTGTGCAACAAGTTCTGCTTTACGTATGTTTGAAAATAGAAAAACCTCTATGCAAGATTCAGAATTGGTTTTTCTTTATATTCAGAACATAGATGAGGTTTTATGAGGAAAAAACTTTTATGTTCTGGTTTTAATCTTGATTAACAGTTAACTTAGCTATGTCACAAAATTACAATTCAACTAGCTGTTCAATGCAAAAAAAGGGGGGGGGGAGGCGAAAACTTTTTAACAAACTTTTGATGCATGAAGGGTTATTTTTTTTTTTAAAATCTTAGGCAAAATTAAGAATAAAATTTTCAATTATTTAAAAATTAAATTATCATTTCATTCTTTTTTCCAATAAACGAACTGGTAAATTAATAATATTTTTATTAATCAACATTAACATGCTAGTGGAAATCAATCAATTTTTAATATTACCTCTACCTCAGCCTAATACATTTGCCTAGAATTCAGACACAGTTGGATGGTTGCTAAAATATTTTGGTCTTTAATAATAAAAAGGCATTACTATTTTTTAAAATTTTCTTCTTCGCCAACACATTTCAAAGCATTAAGAAAAATGGTCTTGGCAATCATTTATATTAATTAATAACCAAATTATGAATTTTTCACTATTTGATAGCATCTAAAATTTGAAGCATCTAAATTTAGAAATATGCACCTCTCGTAAGGCTCAAATTTCTTCCCAGTTGTGCATTTTTACTGACAAGCTAAATTTCAATATTTTCTTTATTTACCATCCATTTTGTTGAAAATGTCAATTGTTAAATAAAATTGGAATATTGAGTAATTTTCCTTATTGTGTGTGAAGATCCAGCTGCAGGAAATAAAAATTTGATACCTACTTTACGAATATTTATAATATTTTGTCTTCAAACTAGTACTTAATAATATCATCTGTTGCATCCTTAAAATAAATATTTTACTAAAATCTCGCAATAGCTCTTAGACAATAAGTTTTATTGTTTTTTGAAAGAAATAAAGGCAACAACCTTGAAGCTATATGATGCATAATATCAAAAACTTTAAAATATTATGTTTAAATGGATAAAAGTAGTATTAAAATAAATATAATAATTTTTAAATAAAATAGTCAATAAAGAAAAAGAAATTAATTATCATACACACATAATAGTTAAAATTTTAATGGAGTACAAGAAAGTTTAAAATGTGACAGCTATTATCTAGTTCTTACTCAACTAATAAAGTTTTATTAATTCAATACAAGTTAACAGAACTTTTTAAACTTCTGCAGAACCTATTAGCATCATTGTAAGGATTTTGATATGTTTAACTAATTTATGTCATGGTGGTAAAAATCAGTTTAAATTTATTATATTAAGAGTCAAATGTTATCAATAGGATAGTGTATAAATTGTTATCAATAGGAAAAACCTCTTCCAAATTTTTTTCCTTCTATTTCTTCTATCATTAATGTGTCAAAATATTTTACAACACGTATTCTATAAAAAACTGAAATAGCTGAGAAAAAATTATAAATTTCCTTAGCAGTTTAAACACATCTCATAGGTGAGCTTTTTTATTTTGAACACAGCTCCAAATACATGTTTAAGAAAATAAGTGCAACTCAAAACATGCATTTAAAACATGCATTCAAAACAATGAATACATCTCAAAATGCATGTTTAAGAAAATTGAAACAGCTTGAAATGCATATTCATACAAGGACTTAGTTCAAAATGAGTGTTTGAGAAAATGGAAACAGCAAAAAATGCACCTTTTCAATGTTTCATTAAGTTTAATAACAAAATAAAGAATTTTGTAATGACTTTTCCTAACATTTTTAAAACACTAATCAAAATCATTACAATGATCAGGGTGGCTGGGTATATTACAGATGTAACTAAATAGTGCACAAAGCAATAAAAGTTGTTTGAAAAAAAAATCTAGTCTTATAATGTCAATTTGATACCATTAATATTAATTTATAGAACCTGTGATAACCTTGTGAAATAAACTGTTAACTTTAAAAAAAAAGATCTATTTTTTGGATCCATTAGTTTATTTTTAAAAAAAGAACAATTTTCATAAGAAAAGTTTAATAAAACAAAATGCCATGTCCATTTTTTCAAACACGCATTTTGATTTGAGACCATTTATTAAAATACATAAATTTGTCTCCATTTTCTTAAACACATATTTTGATCTATGTCCAGAATAAAAAGCTCACTCATAATCTTTTGTTTCGTGCATTGAAAATAAATACACCTAAAACAAAATAAAAAAGAGAAATATCAAACAATTACAATCAATCAATTTGCTACAATTATATTTGATTTATCTCCATTTGTATACATAAAAATTAGGAACTGCTTTTCTTTTTTCTAGCAACATTCCTAAGAAGATGCACTTAAAAAAAAAAGAAGAATAGGATGAGAATTAAAAGAAATAAAGAAAACCTACTCATGGAGCCTTTTGTCAGGAATAGATCGATCAAGAGATATTTGATTACTGACTACCATATTTATTCCATACTCCATCATTGCAATTGATATTTCATTCTGATCTTCAGATCGTGCATAATGAGCCATACCATTTTCCCCAGGTCCTTCTCGAATAGTTTCTGTAGGAGAAGGTTCAAAATTTCCCAATACACCTTCTTTAAAGATGGGTCCCAAACGTGGTGGAACTAATTTGCTCTGAAAAGATTTTTCTTTTATATTTACCAATATTTTACTAGCATAAAAAGTTTTGGAATTATAATATATTCAATAAATAAAATACATTAATAACATATTTATGTTCAAAAAATAAAATTAATTAGAGCCTTAATGCTTCAAAAAGTTTCTTTAATTCATCTTTGTAAAGGAGACAGTTAAAGCTGAATGAATATTTAAACAATATTGAAGTTTAAGTCAATCACTCAGAGTCAATTTGTTTTATTTGTTTATAATATAGCACAAGTAATAATTTCGTTAATAAATTATTTATTAGTTTTTATGAGGAATATAAAAAGTAACCTTGCAATTATGTGCAGATCAGTTATACTTGTAACTATATGCAATAGGGTGATTAGCTAAAACTGAAAGTTTAAGTTCGCTGAACAGAAAATCATTCTAATTTTAAAAACCAAATTTTGAGGGAAAAAGACAAAAATGTAGTATTTTGAGATAGCAAGTTCTATTTAAAAATTTTCTTTTATGCCAATTTTCTTTAAGTAACAAAATCAAAATGGTGTTTTAAACCTTTAAATATTTAAACTTGAGATTAAACAAAATATTTCTCAACTTTGAAATCTTAAGCGAAAATTAATTACCACCTTAATGTTTCAAAAAGTTTCGTTTGTGTCGCAATAATATTTTACTAAAAAAATAGTGATTTTAAAAATCATGAAGAAATGCAGCAAGATAATTGTTGAAAGAATGAACAAGACTATGAAATTATGCTTTAATCGTCAAGAATCAAGAGCTTCAAAAACATTTAAATTATTCAATATCACAACTTAAAATTCAAAAAATTGAGGATTTGTTTGGAATCAGGCAACTTTAGATACATAACTTTAAGAACTCTATTGGCTTAGGTAAAATATCTAAAATCTGGAATTTTCTAAAATTCTGACTTTTTGAAACCCTGGGGAGTTCAGAAATTCAAGGTTATACTGTAATTATAATAATAATAATTTAGATTTGTAAAATAATTCTAGCGTAATAAAATAAAGTAAATTTAGAACTTGAGTCATTGTTCAGTACATACTTAAATAGAATAATGTCACAATATTCAAAATAAATATATTCGATGCAACAACAATTAATAAATAATTTAATAAAGTACATTATTTTGAAGTTAAATATAAAGAAAAACAGAAATTAAGAAGAAATAAGAAAAAGACAAAGAAAATAATTATTACTTTCGATACTTTTCCACTCAATAGTGCAACACCCTTAGGTTTTGGAATGAAAAAGGCCACAAGCAAAATAAAGACTACAATTACTAAAAGAACTTTCAGTAAGCGTGATTTTCTAAGGCTGACCACTTTCATAATTTCTTTTCAAATCTAAAGAAATATATTTTTAAAATTAAAATGATAAGTACGTAATTTCTAATAATGTAGGTACATAAAATTACAAATATTTCTAACAGTTTGATAACAAAAGAATTCTAAAAATAGATAAAATCAAATAATTTTGAAAAGAGATAAAATCACAAAAAATTTTAAAAATAGCTAAACAAATTTTTTTTAAGTACATTAAATTATTAAGAATTTCAAGTCAATGCATGCATTAGATTATTACTATGTAAAACATAATTTAAAAAGTGATTTTTATAAACTTAACAAAACTTTCTCAAAAATGTAATTGATAGGTTATCAGCAATTTTTTGTGTGAAGACAAATCATTTATTTCTTAGAACGTATGCTAACTAAAATTGAACAAAGTACGCATGATTATAAATTGAATTAAACATATTTTGTAAAAAAAAAGAACTTAATTTATTTAAAAATTATTGATACTTTTACATATTAGGTAAAACTTTACAAGAAATGACCTACTGATCTCCAGGCAAAGCAATATTACAATGTATACAGGAAAAATTACATTAAAAACTCAGTTTAGTTGTGTTTAAACAATGAATTTATATAAAAAAATTAAATTGCATACCAAAAATTAAAAATAAAAGCAAAACAAAAACATTCTACTTTAAATATCAAATAATAAAGCAAATTAAAAAAAACACGAAACAATTAGTAAATTAAACAATCTTTTAAGATTAGAGGACGCATATTAAACAAAGAAACACTCACGGGGAAAATTAAAGAAAAAAAAAATGCAATCAAAAGCATTACAAATAATATTAGATTCTTCAATTAAAATATTTCCATTGAAATATCATGATGTGTTATTAACTTACAGAAGTTCCACGTTTTTTTAAAAAAATGTTATGTAATAAGAGTAGCTACAGCAGGTGGGCACACTAATTTTAATATTAAACTTTTTTAGAGAATAATCTTCCAACCGAAAATAAATATACTAAGACAATTAATTAAATCTTTGAATATTTAGGGTCTCTAACACAGATTAAATTCATTCTGTAAAACAAAAAACATATGCTCCTAAATGCATATGAAAATTATGTCACACACCCAATGTAAAATTAGAAACTTAAATTTATTTTATATCTCATAAAATTGTACAATAGCATTATGATCGAACATAAATCTGAAATAAAAATAACAGCTGTGCTGTCAGCCTCATAAAAATAATAAACAATACGAAACTTTAGCCGACACGGTTATCACACAATATCACGGTGAGCAAAAAAACTTTTTTTACATATATAAAATTAATTAAAATATAGATTAAGTAAAGTCGCACGTTATAATTATCTTAAATATGGTCCAATAATATTTTTTTCATTTTTTTTCTTAAAAAGAAAAATGAAGGAAAATCAGTCAAATCTTTAACTTCCTACGCATTTCGGAATTTTCCTAAAAAGGTCATATAATTTTTTATTTATGCCAAGCATTGCATGATTAATATTATCTTATTAAATAATCCAAGTAAGTATTAAGTTCTCATATTTGTTTTACGCGAAATCCACTTAACCGTGTTTTACAGCTCAAATATAAACAAAGTGACGTAATACATGTCAAATCAAATATGGATTCAAACATATATAACCCAGTAAGGAAATATTTCAAGCATTATTTAGAAAAACAAACTAATAGGAATTTGTTTTTGTTAAAAATTATAGTTTATTTTTATTAATGTGTTGTTTATATTTTACTACTTTTTTGAAAAAATTAATTCCAAATCAAAATATTCATGTAAACAGTTGTTTAGATTAGGTTTAAAAATGTGTGCTTTTTTTTGTTAATATTTTTACTTGAAGTTTACCTCTCTTACAAAAATATTACAATATTATAAAATGGTTTATTTAACAAGAGACACTTAAATAAGCATAAAGAATAAATAGTTTTACAACTGAAATATTAATTTCTATGTGATAAACAATGTAATTAAAATTGCACAATGAATGTCAGAAATTATCACTCGTAATTTTTTTTTGCATATCAACCTTTTTTAGATTCTTGTAATGAGTAGGGAATGAGGTGTGTCCAAGTAAGCAATTCAAAATTTAAATTTTTGTCCGAAAGTCGAGATGAAACTTTTTAAATTTATATCGCCAAGTCTGTAATAATCAAAATAATCGCCAAGTCTTCTTAACTTCTAGGCACGTGGAAACTGAGGGGAGATTTTCGTATCGTGATCTGTGGCAGAATAATCGTTAAGTCTTGGAATCTTTCGGGTAGTGGCCCGCGAGAAACTAAAAAAAAATCACAGAAAGGGACCAACTGGAAAGGTATAACTCGTAGCCACCCCCAAGCAAACATCTACATGTTTTTTTTAAAAAAAATTCGCAAGTTTAAAATCTATTTGGCACCTTGGCGATTGTTGTTGGCGCGACAGATCACAATACGGAAATATCCCTGAAACTGATGGGAATGGGTCCAACTTGATGGGTATAATTCATAGCCGGGGATATTTCCGTATCGTGATCTGTCTCGCCAACTGCAATCGCCAAGATGCCAAATAGATTTTAAACTTGCACATTTTTTAAAAAAAAACATGTAGATGTTTGCCCAGGGGTGGCTACGAGTTATACCTTTCGAGTTGGTCCCTTTCTGTGATGTTTTTTCTAGTTTCTCACGGGCCACTGCCCAGAAGTTACCAAGATTTGGCGCTTATTCTGCCACAGATCACGATATGAAAATCTCTCTTTATAGCCAACCCCCAGAAATCTCAACTTAATTTTTTTTAAATTGCAAGTTTAAAACCCTATTGGCACAACAGATCAGGCTATGGAAATATCCCCTAACTTTATTATTGTTATTGTAGTAAATTTATCCTAATTTTGTTTAATTATTGTAGTATAACTAATCAGTAAATGTAGTTATCAAACGTTATAATATCACAGATATTAGGAGCAATTATAAATTCTAAGTTAATTGAAAATTATCAGATATTTACATATATTGTCTTGATGTAAAAATTTTTCACTTTTATAGTCCATACCCTTTATCGGTCCATTACCAGGCTCCCTTCAAAGTGGAAACTTAATCAAAATTTCTGGAACAGTTCCAAGTGGTGCATCATGGTATGTTGTATTAGTTTTTAATTAATTTAAGAATTTACTAACTAATTTTTTAAAAAGTTGTTTTATAAATAATAAGTTATTAAGTCAAAACTTTTTTGAAATTAGAAACTGTTGGTTGAATTAATGTTTGTGAATTATTGTTGGTTGAATTATTGTTTATTAGTTATTATTATTTTTTTTTTTGACAAACTATAATGGAAGCACATGTGAGAACATTGTCCTAAAAATTTTCAAAATTCATATAAATAAGAAAGATGCCATCTGAATTAAACATAAAATAATCTTGATGATTTAATTAAATTAACTCTTTTAGGTTTCAAAGAGAATGACATTGTCATTTTAAAGATGAACCTTAAGTTAAATTCATTTAAATTGCAAAGTTTAAAAAGGCTAATCTTCCTTTTTTCGTTTTAAATAGACCTTTTTGTTTTCATGTGTATGCAAGAATATCTCTAAACTCAGCGGCGCGACAGCCCTTGAGGGTCAAGGCCTACTGTGCCCATCTCAATTTTCTTGACCTTGGGCTCTGGGGTGTAGGAGTAGATGTTCCGGTCAGGTGGTCAGCCGGACGCGGAACCCCCAGTGTTTAGTTCCCAAGCATGCTTGGTACTCATTTATCGACCCACTGAAGGGATGAAAGGCTGAGTCAGCTTTGCCCAGCCTGAGGATCGAACCAGGGACCTGTGGCACGACCGCGCGAAACGCTACCGCTCAGCCACCGGGCGTCATGCAAGTATATCTCATATATTTAATTTCTGTAGCTAGGTTCAAGACTTAAGAAAACAATTCTAAGCATTAAAAATTTATAAAAATAATAATAAATCTATAAAGCTTTTAGTGCAAATGTTGCAACAACTTGCTTTTACTTTTACCTAAATTACGAATTCAGTTGTATTTTAGGTAAAAGTAAAAATTTAAGCGCAAAGAAAGAAAAAAAAAAAAAANAGGCAAAAAAAAAAAAAAAAAAAGCAAAAAAAATGCACTGTATTGTGAGTTAAAGGTGAACAAAATTTATTAGCATGAGAGGTATAATTTTAGCAATGTATGTTCACAAATTGCCTATTTTGCATTAATTTTTTTTAAAATATGCTTTAACTGAAAAATATTGGAAATGAGCTAATGTCTGATAACCAAATTAAGCATGCTTTAGCTTCTCATTCATAAAACAGTTCTGTAAATACAAGTCATTCAGCTTTTACAACTACACAGCTGCCAACATGTGCAGTTTGAGGGAAAAATTTCTGAGGAATTAGCAACATTATGGGTAGTTATATATCATTCTGCCAACCGTTTATTCTGGTCAGTATTTTCGTCAACACTGAGCCAAATTCACTTTCACATAGTAATCTATTTTAAAGAAACAGTTTGCCTGTTTCTTTAAATACCAACATAATTTAAGACAAACAAGAATGAGAAAATATTTAAACTCGAACTATTTCTAAATTTATTTTCATATCAACCAAACACTTCTGAATAATGAAAAAATTTCAAAAGAAAAACTCATTTTCCTACTTCCATGAATGAATTTTGAGCCAAATTCATTTTGATGCAATGATTCCATTATTTTAAAAATATGCCACTGCATCATCTTTTCTGATAAATAGATGCCAAATATAAGTAATTTTTTTCAACAAAGATTCTCACTTCAATGCAAGTTTACGCAAAAATTAAAGAGTGTGTTAGGCTTTCACAGTAAAGGCATTGTAATTTATGGTAATCCAATATTAGTGTCTATGTGATTCTGAATTTTTTAATATGGTTGATGGGATAATCAATAAATCTTGGTTTTTGAAGTGAAGCAATTTTTTTTTGCATACCATAACAAATCAATAATTTAAATATGTATATTTAGATTGATTAGTTAATGACTTATGTCTTTCTGCTATAGTAAAATAGCTTAGTTTTTTAAAATTTTTTTAATGCTTTAATTATTATTGTCTGCCAATTTTGAAATCACTTTCTTATGGCCATAAAAGTTGGCAGCTTTGGTAAGAGATTTAAATTTGTTCAAGCCATTTTTAACACGTACTCATTTTATTAAACTTCTTAATATTCTTAGGCAATTATTAAAATTGATAAACTTAACTTCAATTAATCCTGTGGATAACAGATTTTTCCTTATAATTTTCATGCAATGAAAAAATTCACCACATAGTGTGTTCCTTTGTTATAGGCAGATATGACTATTAGCAGTGTTTGTTTATTTTCTTTAGTTTCTTAATACTTATGAGATGTTTAGAATAAATAAAATTAGTAGAAAATTTCTTTCTCAATTTTAGTTTTTCTATTAATCTTCAAAATGGTTCCAATGGGATTCAAAGGAATGATATTGCTCTACATTTAAGCCCAGTTTTCTCTTCCCCTCCAAGAGTTGTTCGGAACAGTTTAGAAAATCAAAATTGGGGTCCTGAAGAAAGTCACGGACCTCCTTTTCCTTTTAGTAGTTGTCAAAGTTTTGAAATTTTTATATTAGTTGAGCCTGATCATTTTAAAGTAAGTTATGTATTTTAATCTCTCTCTCTCTCTTTTTTTTAGTTGTATAAAATTTGGCAAGTTATAAAAACTTTATGCAATTATATGCCAAATAAAATTTTTATATTCTTTGTTTAATTTTGTTTTCACTTTACATATTGAGATTGGCATATTTGAACAATTTAGATAGATGTGTAAGCTGCCTCCACAGATAATATTTCTTGGGCAGATAAACAATTTGTGATATAAAAAAGAATAATCATTTACGATTTATTGATAAAAAAGTTTATGAAGCTTATGAGAAATATGTGAACTCAAAAATTTTATGAGTGTGTATTGTCTTACAGGGATTTTTATTAGATAAGTAAAAAAAAAAAACGAAATTTTATAATAAATTTTTGTGCAATCTATGGTATGTAAATTTTTATGAATACAGACTATTCTACACTCACTTCCAAAAGTTAAACACAGAGAGAAAAATGCTTATTTCTGGAAGCTAATATGAAATGAAGAAACTGTAAAATGTTGCAGAGGTGGAGGGAAGTAAGCAAATTTGTTAGATTGCAACCTATCATGGTTTCATGTCAACAAATATGCAAATCAAGCAACAGTAAAAGAGGCTGGCTTTTTTAAGGTTTGCAGAAGTTGTATTTAAGTTTGGATATAAGGTGTTTAGAATATACTTTAAATTTTTTTTCAAGCTAAACTTGTTTCGATGACTTACAGTAAACAAATAGAAGATTATGAGCACTGGTGCAGTGTAGGAAGCATTGAAGCAAAACAGTATCTCAGATGTTACTCTTTTCTTCCGAGTCTATCACTCTGCTATTTCGCAATTATGGAATAAACTCCAAACCAGCCGAACAGTTATCTGATTACCTGTAGCTGGTTGTCCAAGGGTTATGATCCCTGTAGAAGATCGATATATTGCTGTTATAGCCCAACAGAATAAAAAATTTACCACCCTATGTGTGATTTTTATGATTATAGCGGCCATTGGGACATGATACCGACATTGGTAAAATGTTTGCCATACTGTTACAATAAAACATCATGCTTTCTGTGATGAAAGCATGATGTCTGGGCAGGTATTGCAATAAGACATTGCATCAACCTGCACAACTCTTGACGTGGTTCTGGCTGTACAGTGTTGGATGATGGCTGTACAGTATTGGGATGAAGTCCTAGACCCTATTAAGAAACTGTATGTTACACCAATTGGTTTTACTTTCATTTTTCCTCTTAGAGCTGCCATTGTCAATGACTATTTGGAGAGTGAGGTTGATTGTGCGTATGTGTATCTTAATTTAATTGAAAATCTTTAAAATGCGCTCGGTTGAGCTGTATGTACTCATTTTTCCCCCTCCAGCAACTCTCACAGATTTGGAAACTGCTCAAGAAGTAAAACGGTGATTAATAAATTCTGAAATATTAGACCACCTTGTAACAAGCATGATCAGACTCTGTTTGAAAAGAAGGGTGCTCATATACCCTATCGTTGGATTTTGCTGTATTTTAATTTAAATTAGAATTTTATGAATAGTGCTTTTATGACATCAGCATATGATTTATGCAAATTGAATTTTTTTCCATCTTTCTATGTTATTCTTTGATAAATTGTTATTCTTTGATGATTCCATGCTTTCTGTGATGAAAGCATCATAGTCTGAGCAGGTATTGCAATGAGACATTGCATCAACCTGCACAGCTCTTGATGGGGCTCTGGCTGTACAGTGCTGGGATGATGGCTCTACAGTATTGGGATGAAGTCCTAGACCCTATATGTGTATCTTAATTTAATTGAATATGTGTATCTTAATTTATTTGATTATCTTTAAAATGCGCTTGATTGAGCTGTGTGTACTCATTTTTCCCCCTCGAGCAACTCTCATAGATTTGGAAACTGCTCTAGAAGTAAAACGGCAATTACTGAATTCTGAAGTGGTAGACCACCTTGTAACAAGCATGATCACACTCTGTTTGAAAAAGAAGGGTGCTCATATACTCTATTGTTGGATTTTGCTGTATTTTAATTTAAAATTGAATTTTGTGAATAGTGCTTTTATGACGTCAGCCTATAATTTATGCAAATTGAGAATTTTTTCATCTTTCTTTGCTATTCTTTGTTTTGTTTTATGAGCAAACATATTTGGGCGATTCCCTGGTGTCAGGCATAAAAAATGAACTTAAATTCCCAGAAAAGCTTTCATTAAATGTAAGTTAAAGTTAAAATTATAAATTTTTTTTACATCAAATGCTTTGTACATCATGACCAATCAAAAAGCAATTTGTTTTATAAAAATTGAAAATAAAAAGTTAAATTAAATTGTTTGGCATAAATGACATGAAACCAAAAAAGTATTATTCATTTACAAATTGTCTAAAATCTGGGAATTTGTTTTTAATTTGAATGTAAACTTCACTAATTTAGAAGCTGACATTTGAATAAAGATTTCTCAGCAGTTCTTGACTTGTAAAATATGATGTACAGTGAAACCTCTTGGAATTTGGGGAAAAAATTTTACCACTATCCGTTCCTAAGTAAAATGGTCATTGATGGAAGTTGGTCATTCTGAAAGGTTACCCCCAATGAATTCAAAATTCTTATCGAAGGTACTTAATTTTTTGCAAACGTTTTAATTTTAGTCTGTTATTTTCTTAGTGCGGAAATGCCACTTCTGTTGGCGTCATAAAAAGATGGATCGATGAATAACACTTTCTCTCAATTAACATAAATTTTTTCGACAGATTCGGATTTCTGACTCTCAAAATAGGGTTCCCATAGCTTGGTCAGGAGAGTGCTGCAAAGTTTGGAACCCTTAATGTTAATTTTACTTTTTTCTTATTTTGCTGTATCTCGAGAGCTTTTTAAGCAAAGAAAAAAAATTTATCATGCAAAAAATAACTTCCAGTAAATATTAATTATGTTATATTATTTTATTTAATAATGGTCGATAAAAATTTGAATTGTAAGGTATAAATATTTTTGCATCATTTTAAAGAACATATTTTTACAGAGTAAAATACAAAATTTTAGCAAAATCGATTGAAAAGTCCCTGAGAACATGAATTTCAAAAAAGTCGGATATTTAAAATTTGATATCTTAGGAATTATTTGGCCGATTTCGCTTAAATTTTTTATTTCGCGATGTAAAATTATATTCTTTAAGGTTACGTAAAAAATTTCATGCCTTACAGTTTAAAATTTTTTTGACCAAATAAAATGATTAAAAATGAAAAAAATATAATATACAAATAAAATAATAAATATTTGCTAAAAGTTATTTTTTGATTGGTTATTTTTTGAATTTTGTTATGTAAAATTACATTACTTAAAATGATGCAAAATTGTACATCTTACAATTTATGTGACAGTGTGAATTATGTTAGACGGTGAATAATTTCTTTATTCACTGTCTAACATTATAAAACATATTTTGTCTCAGCTAAATAATTTTAAAACGTTTACAAACCTATATTTATGAATAAAAAATTAAAACTTTGAGATTATGTGAAGTTGCTATTAAAATAAGCATTTAAAGTTAGATATTTTTGTGCATAAAGCATATAATTCGTTATTTATGCTAATGTTGTATATTTCATGTTTATCATTGCTTGTTTATCATCTTACGGTTTGTTTATCTCTGCAAAATGCTTTTCTCTCGTTTTTTGCAAAATAATTCTTTTCTTGATTTCAGATTGCAGTAAATGGGCAACATTTTACTGAATTTAACTATCGACTTCCTTTAGAGAAAATTTCCCATATTGGGATAGATGGAGATGTAACAATTAGTTCTATAATCTTTGAAGGTTTAGCAAGACAAACTATGGCATCAGTAAGTTGATATTCTTTTATATAATTAAAAGGAGTTAAGTATTTGACAAGCATGTCTTTAGTTTATAAATTTTTTGTTGTTGTTTAGATGCATATTTTTTAATTACAGAGCAAGCAAATAGATAATAAATCTATTCTTATGAAGAATGCAGTATCATAGATAATAATATCCAATTCTTAACAATTTTTTAAACCGAGTTATTTGTTAAATGAATTACTCTTTGAAATTAGAGTTCCTTTCAGACAAAAATCACAATTTTTTTTTCTCATACATAAATAGTATGCAATAATGGCTTTTCTTTTTTTTATTTAAAATTACATCTAAAATTTTTTTAAAAATAAAATTTTGCTCAAACATTTTTTTAAAATAAGCTCTGTACAATTCTGTTTAAATAGTTTGTGCACAGTGCTGACGAATATTAATCTGGAACACAAGCACATTAAATTCTTAAATCTATCACATTGGACGATCAGATGTGACTTTTAATCAATCCTCAATATATTTTTTAACTATTTAACAAAATGGCTCAAAACTTTAAACATTTACTGTAATGCTTTAGCTATCTTACATTGAAGAATGAGGATTTTGTAAGTTCAGTTGAATCTGTAAATATTTATTTGTCCATTTTCAACTTTCAAGTGTGTTTCTACCTGGTTTACATCAATACAAAAGAAAAAAAAATTATATATTTTAGCATTGCATCATCTAATTTAAAAACTAACCTTTTTTGAAGTAAACTTAGTTGGGATTATAAATATATGTTTTTTTTCCTTCACTCTTTGCTCTAATTTTGAGATTTTTTTAGATAGACTCAAATTTTTGACTTTATGTCTTTTTTAATTTACATGTAGGAAAATATTTTTTTAAGATATTTTTATCTATCAGAATGAAATCAACTTATACCCTTTTTGTATTTAATGACTGTTTCACTTAAATACTGTCTGTACTACTCATGGGAGTCCCTCAGAGTGTTTTAATTAAACCCAACAAGTCAGTACAAACAAGATAACTCATGAAACCATCTTTGAATTTCATTTTATAAATCATTTTTTCATTACTTTTGCAATTGTTTTCTCCCTTTATTATTTGCACTGTTTTTTATTGTTTATATTTGATTTTTTTTCCAGCAATTTTGTTTATTTAATTTTGTTTACAGGTCTGAAATTTTGGGAACATAAAAAATTATTAAAGTGTTAGTTTCTATTTCTTTTAAGCGTCTGATTTTTAATTATAATGCGCCGTTTATCCAGGCATCAATTATCCAAACTGCTCAGTTAACTAAAATGATTAAGGACTATTAAATTTTCCCTTTGTCTTCTCCAAACAAAAAAAAAAAAAAAAATACTAAACNAAAAAAAAAAAAAAAAAGGAAAAAAATTTTCTCAAAATTTGCATTATAATACATTATATCAAATAATATAATTATTATTAAAAATTATTATTAATGTATTAATAATTAAATGTATACAGTATATTATATAATATACATATATTTAATTGAAGTTCTCTGTATTTCTTACCTTATTTCTAATTATTTATTCTAGAGACCTGTAGAAAGTGTTGGTAAGCCTTTAGGTTTTGTTATTGACCCTAGTGGACCACCAAATTATGGAGTAAGTATTATCTTAAATGTTTTCTGTGTAAATGAAAGTTTGAATTTAATGGAAAATCTTAAAAAAATATTTTTATGTGTCTTTTATTTCTTCTTATTGCAGTTTATGCACATAAAATTTTCCCTCCATTTTTTTTATTACAGTAGAGCGACGATTATCCGAACTGCTCGGAACCGAACGTGGTTCGGATAATGTAAAGTTCGGATAATTGGAAAGTTGTTTAAAATCCAGTTTAAATGATTATTATTTATGCACTAACTTTCATTCACACTTTTTCTAGGCTTAGGACTGGCAGTACTATCTAAAATAGCTCTGGCGTGTTTTAAAGTTTTTTTTTTTCTTTTCAATTTTTAAATATTTTTTATTTATTTTTCTTGAACTTTTTTTTAACATTTTGTATTATTTTTATCATATTTCAGCTTTTTATATATTTTTTTTTATCAATTACTGATTTTATCACATTTTTCTTTATTTTCCACTGCAAAAGAAATAAAGCAGAGACTTTTGTTTCAAAGAAGATGATCTTTTTTGAGCAGCGATTTATTCTTTTTAAATAAATCAACTGAACTAGATCAACATCATTTTGACGTTTTAGCCAATTCATTGCAATATCAAATGAATTGCATGCTTCTATATGAGAAGGTCCACTATCTTGAATTTGATCACCTACTTCTTCCTCTTTGTCTGCGGAGTTCCGATTTTCATTTAAAATTTCAGCAACAATTTCATCATCATTTAAAATCCTGGGTCGTTTTCAGTGTCTCGACACCATTCTATTTCTTCTGCTATACTACCTGGCATCTTTTCATCAGGAAGATCTACTGGTTCAGAAACTTCAGTTTCGTTTATTTTTTTGTTAAGAATTTTATTCCAAGATTTAAGATTCCAAGCACTGTAATCACTAATCATTAACCATAAGTGACAAGTACCCATCCCCCAATTGTAGAACTTTAGCACATATCTATTCATAAACTCCTTCCTCATTTCAACCATTGTAGACTGTCAAATTGAAGCTCGCATTCTTGGAAGATAATTTTCAGTTAAAGAGGGCTAAAAGGGTATGTAGGTTTAACTGTATAACAATACATGTGTATGTATTGGCTACTATAAGAAAACTGCTAAAAAGGGTTGTAAATTAAATATGGTCTTCAGATGTAGTGGATATTATTTATTCTTCTAAATTTAGAATAATTGTCAATAAGTTAATAAGTATTCTAAACTTTGCCAAAAAAAGTTAATGCGGACATGGTTCGGATAATTGGACGTTCGGATGATCAGCGCTCTACTGTATATGTTACCGGCAAAGTTTGAAATCTGGCATTCTATCGAATGTCTAGGCATTGTGTATAATGCCTAAAACTAGCTGGCAATGTATGAAACGATTTATATTTCACACGTTTCCTAGGTATTCTATAGAATGTCAAATTAGAAACTGGCAAAGTATAANTGGGTTTATCACCATACACCTGAATCCAAGCAACAATCAATGCAATGGCGCCATTCGAATTCACCCAAAGCCAAGAAATTCAAAACTTCGATTTCAACGAAAAAAATCATGGTCTCTGTTTTTTGGGACAGACAAGGCATTCTTCTATTGGAATTTATGCCTCCCGGAACGACAATTAATGCTGCTGCATATTGCCAGACTTTAAAACGTCTTAGAAGGGCAATTCAAAACAAGCGCAGGGGAATGCTAACAAATGGAGTCCGCTTGCTTCATGACAATGCTCGGCCTCACACAGCCCTCGTAACCAAAGCACTACTCAAACAATTCAAATGGCAAGTATTGGACCATCCACCATACAGCCCGGACCTTGCGCCCAGCGACTTCCATTTATTCCTTTACCTGAAGTCACATCTTGGTGGAAAATCATTCCACGACGATGATGAGATCAAAGATGAAGTTGAAATATGGTTCCGACAACAGGCAGCAACCTTCTATGACTGTGGGATACGAAAGCTTGTGCGCCGACTTAACAAATGTTTGGATAACGGGGGTGATTATGTCGAAAAATAATAAATAATCGAGTTAATAAGATGTAACTGACGTTTTCTAAATAAATGTTTTTTTTAAGGAATGCGATCCATTTTATCTTTACTTTTCGAAACGCCCTCGTACTTAAATATAGGACCTGCTTTCATTTTAAATTATTTTAATACCTTACACATTTCTCTTTAGATGTTAAAAAATGTCTAAATTAATTAAAATAACACTTTATAAAAATGGAAATACAGACTATTATTAAAAGGGTAGCTAATTTCATTCCTAAAATAGAAAACACATTGTTGGCAAGGAAACCTTAAAATCATAATGAACTTTTTCACATCTTCAATTGCCTGATTGAATTGGTTACCACAATTTCCAAATCGAGAAAAGTTAAATTCTTTATTAACTCAGGTTTTCAAACTCATTGATATATTAAATACAATAGTTATATTGAATGGGTATATTACTTTAGTACACTTTTGTTTTCCCATTTCATATTAATATATTAAAAGCCAATGAAACATTTCTCTTGGTGGTTTTGTGTTCTATGAATTCTCCTTTCTATGAATGGAGATACTTGATGACATAAATGAAAAAAAGAAAACTGATTTATTGTTCTTGAAAGAGCGTACATTCTTGATTCAAAATTAAGATATTATATCTGTTTTTTTTGTTGTCTTACATTTTTCAAACATAAATTTTGACACATTGCATGCAATTCATTCTGTTAATACTATTTTTTTTTCTACAGCCGCCAACAGTTGGTAGGCCATCTTCACCTTACGCTTCACCATCATTACCATATCCACCTAATCCTTCCTTTGGACCTTCACCAACTAGTCCTTATGCTCCTCCAAACTCTGGTGGTTTGTATCCAAGTGCATATGATTCTCAAGGTGGATATAATCCTTATGCTCCAGCATCTGGCAGAGTTTCGCCATCTCCTTACGGTCCACCACCTGGTAGTAATCCATATCCTAGTTCAGGATATCCTTCATCTCCAGGGGGATACCCATCAAGTCCTTCTCATGGTTATCCATCAAATCCTCAGGGATATCCATCAAATCCTCAGGGATATCCATCAAACCCCTCTCATGGTTATCCGTCAAATCCTCAGGGATATCCATCTAACCCATATCCGTCACAACCAGGTCCATATCCAGGAACTTCTGTTGTTTATCCAGTATGCATATGTAGTATTTGTTTTTAAGTATTATATGAAATTTTCAAAACTGATGACTCAAGAAGTTTGTAGTTAAAGATATGTTCAGATGTTTTGTTAAATGCTGGGAGAAGCAGTCTTATTTCAAAATATTTTAAACTTATTTTTCCTTTTTTATTTATTTATGTCAGTGATGTTTTATGGAGAAATATTGCTAAATAGAGTATTATCAATGATATTAGGAATATAAGATTAATTTAATCCAATTTGTTGGAAGAGATCTAATTCAATCACCTTTGATCATTTAAAGTTCTGAAAACCATCTGCATCAAAACAGCTGTATGGATCAAATTTTCAGGATTTTTTTAATTAGTATTTAAATTTTTAACTAAAAAGGTACCTTAACTTTTTACAAGTTCTCATTGTTTTTTGCCTTTTCTCTAAACTAATGTTTTGCCATATAACATCATTTATAATTTATTCAAACATAAAATCTCAGGGTGGCCACCCATGTGGAAAACCTTGAAAACCTGGAATTATCAGGGAATTTTTTTTATACTGGAAAAAACCTGGAAAAATCAGGGAATTTTAAAGAAAAGCTGATAATTTTTTCTTTGATAATTTTTTCAATTTCACCAATTTAAATTTGCTAATTTTCTTAATTTAAATTATTTCATCCATTATACCCACTTTTTTTTATCCTGAAATGTATCGCCAAACAGTTTAAATATCATCAACTTAGCGATACTTTGCTTGCATCAAAATTTGTTCCATTACAGCTCTGTTAAACTAGAATGCCAAGTAAAATTCTCCCACGGTTGCTAAACGAATGTAGAAACCTTTGACCGCTATGGGACTGTGCAATTTAGGAAAGATTCTGGTGGAGGTGGAAGATGGGATTAGGATATTAGCTTCGGTTTTTAAATTCTGTGCTTGGGCTGAATCCATTTATGGCTCAAGTTTGTTCTGATGCTTTGGTGGTAATTTTTTTCTATTTTGGCAAAATGTTTTTGTATTTTTAACTTTAAAAAATTCTCCAAAAATTAGTTGGTTATAATTTAATAATAATAGATTTTATATTGCACTCTTTTTCTGAAAGCTTTTCTACTCCGATTCAAAGAAATCTGTGTATTATTTTTTTTCAGAAAACCAAACCAACCAATCACGCATTTTTTTACAATCGCTAACAGCAATGTTTGTCGACAAATTGTTACAATTGTTGCATTAATGCTAATTTTTTCTATTTCATTTAAAAAAAAAGGTTTTTTAAGAACTAACTATATATTAATATTTAATTTTACTCTTTTGTTGGTCAATGTATGATTTTTTATTCAAAATTTTGTAGTACCAAAACATTAAAAAATAAGTAAAATATCTTGCCAAATTGTCAATATAAATTTTTTTTTCAAGATATGTTAAAAAAATAGCATTTCGAATAAAATATTTTATAATATAGACACTTTTCTTGTACGAATCCTACACTTTATAAGAAAAAAGAAACAAAAACCTGGAAATTTTAAGATTTTTATCTGGAAAAATCAGGGAAATTTGAAATCGGATTTGAGTGGCCACCCTGAATCTATTTTATTTTTTTCTCATGGTACAACCATATAATTGTTGTAATTCTCCAAAATATTAAATTTGTATTCTTTTAAAAAATAATCTTTTTTAATATTCTATTATCATAAATATTTTTCAATTTATATATGAATATCATAATAATATCAAATAAGTAATATAAATTATTAAAAAACTTCATGTTTTAATTTTTTCTGCCCAAAAGAATCTGACATTATAGATAAGTTAAAATAGCTAAGAGTGTGCATGATTCTTGCATAAACTTTTTGTTGCAATTCTACCGTTATGTATTTATATTTCAAAACTATAAACTTATTAATGGCATCTGGGTTTTAACACCTTGGATTGAATATTTATTGTTACGCCTTATTCTATGACTCTTTGACTATGATCATCTATGATTCATGAATATTTACTATTCAATGGTATAGTCATTTGAGTGGTTTACGTTTTAACTCACTTTATATGATTCTTAGGGTCAAGAAAAAAAGAGTGATGGTGGCGGCTTACTTGGTCCTTTAACTGCTGCTGGAGCAGCTGCCTTAGCTGGAGCTGCTGGTTCTGCCTTATTGGGTGGAAAGCATAAAAAGAAGAAGAATAAACATGGGTTCGGTGGACATGGTATGGGACCAGCAGGATTGCTAAGTGGTGTTGGATCCTTAGTTAGTGGAAATAAGCATGGCGTGAGTAGAAAGTGAAATTGATTTTAGAAATTATTGTACTTCATTTTTGTGTGCAGTTATCTTAAAATTACAATATATTATTGTACCTATTTGAAAATAGCATTTTATTTTGGTTTAGAAGGTCGTTACTAAAAATAAAAAGTGCGTCTTTCAGAAAAAGTGTCTTTTTATACTCCTAATTTTTAAAAATGTTCGTGTTTTGATGTTTCAGCAACTTTTGAGTTTTTTTAATGTTGGGAAGTTTTTCTTTAATAATGTAAACATACTAATCCACTGATATAAATGTTTTTTTTATTTTTAAATTACGCCTGCCATCGTCTTCTCAGACATAAGGCGTCTTGCAGTCCAATACAACACTGAAGTAGCTCCAGAAGGTGAGAGGGCACAAAAGTCATAACAGGAACGAATGTCAAGAAGAGAGGGGCAATCAAATAGATGCTCCCCAGTCATAGGCAAAGTGTTACAGAGCACACAAAGAGGTGAATTGACCAGGTTAATTTTAAATAGATGGGCCTGCAAGTAGTCATGTCCAGTAATTATTCTAAGGCAAGCAACTCCCTCGGCTCTGGGAAGGAGGGAAAGGTGAGAGCGCTGCTGGTCATCAAGAAGGCTAGCCCAGGATTTTCCATCAGCTAAGTCCCTAAGAGCAGATATTGTTCTGTGCCTGCATTTGCTCTTAAGAAGCCGCCTTGCATTTCTAAGGGGAACTGGATGAGAAGATGGATGCAGTGCTGAAGCCTCTCTAGCCAACATGTCAGCCCGTTCATTTCCGTAAATGCCACAATGGCCAGGGATCCACTGGAGGACTACCTCTCTTCCAGAACAAAGTATAGAGTCGATGCGTTGTTTACACTTAAATTCTAGTTCAGAGGGGTATACATTATTTTCAGAAATGGTCTGAATAGCAGCCTGAGAATCGACCAAGATAGCAATGTTTTGTTCAGATGGTTCACCAATAGCTGTAATAGCCATAAGGATTGCAAACATTTCTCCATCAAAATTATCTGCCCAAGTGTCAAGAGGTACTGACATAAATGTAAAGCTATGGTATTTGAATGAAATTTTATTATGTTTGGATTTCCCTTATTTTACAAAATCAATCATATTTCTTCCGTTTATTATGTAAGAGATCATAATTCTTTCTGCATAATTAGTATTAATTCTGTTTCTAAACATCATTCTCCACATTCTATGAATTAAATCAAAATTTATTTATGTTCAGATTGAAACCTTCAAGATGATTTTTAATGTTGCAAATACAAATTTGGAAATTTTGTTGGCAAAGTGTTTGAATTTTCGTTTAGTTCTTTCATTGATTTAATTTAGCTTTAAAATAATAATTTTTCATTTTATTTCTAGCATTCAAGTAGTAGTCCAATTCCTATGGGTGGTGCTTTAGCTGGAGGAGCTGCTGGTTTAGCTGGAGCTTATATGGTAAGTGAAAGCCTTTTTTGTTACAGTGTAGTTAGTCTTTTCACAATCGTCAAACTCATTTGTCAAAAGATGATTTCATGATAAAAAATAAGTTTCTAAATTACTTTTTCCCTTTTTATTATTTCTTTTCATTGTTTAATGTTGTAATGTTAAAAATTATGTGAGACATAATATTTTTACACCATCAGAAGTAATTTGGATCAGTTTACTTTGGATAGTTGTAATATTTGGATTGTTGAAGCAAAAGGTTTATTTTAATATAATTTCACCCATTTACTCTGAAAATTGAATTTCTTTTTCTATATTAAGGCTTTATAGTCTTTTTTACCTAGTATGTGAAATAAATGCTGTGCAATTTTAAAATCTACTTTCACTATTGCTAAAGATATTAGTACTCTTTTGCTCTTTTTTTGAAAAAACAAACATTTGTGCAAAGACTTTCTCCATATTTTTATTGATTGCTCTTGTTTGCAAAACTCTTTTTCTAAATCCATTAGCATTATGTTATTATCAGGGCTGCAAACTACTATACTTTTTGAAAATTATTGCATGGAGTGGTAGACAATTAAAACCTAAAACTTTCAGAAATTTTGGTAATTTTAAAAGCTTTACCAGCTGGGACAAAATGGCATTTCACATAACTTTTCAATCATTTATTCTAATTTAGTGGTGTGGAAACTATTTTTAAATTACATTTACAAATCAAAGAAGCACACTTTAAATCCTTAACTTAGCTAACACTTGAAGAAATTTTCCAAAATCATAGAAAGTTTGCAGCTCTCTCAAAAGCAAAACTCTTTTCAATAGACTTTATTTTATAGAAGTATTTAGATGAAATGAATTCATTTAATCGATGTTGTACCGCATATAAGTTTAAATATTAAAATTCAAAATTTGAATTTATTCTGTGAAATAAATCTAGAATTTTTAAAAAGTTTGTTTGTTATTAAAAATTGTATTTTTAATAAATTATGTATTAGTAAAAAACAACAGATTCTTATTTGTAATTTCAGAATGTATTTTATTTATAATTATCCAGTTTAGTTTTATTTTGCAAGGAATAAACTTTTTGAAAAAGATATATAAGATTGTGTTTGTTACCTTGTAATTAGATCCCCAGATTTGGCAAAAAAAAATGAAAAACTGGGGGCTCCAACTTTTGTAAAAAATAAAATAAATTGGAAAAATATCTAAGAAAGTATTCATTATGTCACTTCTAAAGTTTTCGAATTTTAGATAGTAAATCAGGAACTCTTTGACACGCCATTATAATGACAAATTCAATACGTAATTTTTTTAAAAAAATTCAAAATTTGGGGGCTTTAATGGAGATAATTGAAAAAATTTTAAACATGCACTGGGTTGATAGTTGTCCTGATTTTCCTCATGAAAAAATATTTTGTCTTTATATCTTAATTTCTAGAATATTGCTATACTTTGCGGCTCATTTTGTATTAAAAAATATTAACTGCAATATTCACATATTGAACAATGAATTTATTCCTCGTAATGCCTTTGAGGATAAAAACGCTTTTGATTCATATTTAAATTAAAAAAAAGGTTATCCTCTTTCCTAACCTATGCAATGAAATGATGGTTCATTCATGCCACTTGCTCAATTCATTTAATTATTTCATATGACAGTTATAAGGGTGATATTATCTACACTTTAATAAATATGAAATATTTTAGAAATACTTCGTCCTATTGATGAAGAATTATGGATCATCAGTTTTCTTACCTGTTGGACTGAAAATAAATTTTTTGTTCACGTTAAAAACAAATGTTTTTTTAATGATAATCAGGGTATGTAGCGTTTTTAAAAAGTGCTTATTTTCGATTTTCGTTATTTAAAAGCCCTTAAAGGTGCTTTTTTCATTGGGTGTTTTTAAAAAGTGTTTAATTTTCCCTTTTCAAAAAAGAGATTTTTTTTTCTTTACCATGTCGATTTTTGCTCCAGATGATGCAAAAGCGTGCTTTTTACATTGTTCTATTCAACGTTTCCCTAATTCATTTCACCACTATCCATTTTGGACTACCGTCGGTCCATAGGTTATGAAAGCGCCAATCATTTTACATGTTTGATGAAATACTTGCGAGTGCATCTACTGAGCTGGGTTCGGTCAGATTATTGCCTTCTCATGTGCAACTCTGCTGCATTTTGCAAGATATTCTCAATTTCAGACTTCATTTTCCTCCCTCTGATATTGAACCAAAAAATCTCGCGATCATTTTATAACGGCTAATATAAGCAAGAAAAGAGTTCTTTGTCAGAAACTTGTTATTTTCTCATGATCATCTAAAGTCTTTGAAAATTATTTTACATTTTGTTAATGTATATAGTGCTTTTAAATATTTTTTGAGTGCTTGAAAAGTACTTAAAAGGTGCTTATTTTTTGTTGAAAGATTTGGCTATGCACTCTGCTAATGAAATCTGAGTTTAGGTAATAAGATATTTCATATTATGTGTGTTCACAGTATAAGTAATTAAAGGCATGTCAGCATACAATTTGACGGGAAATCCAAAATAAGTTCACGTTAGAAGAAATTCACATCAAACATCTTTTCCATTTAAAAGGTTAGACTGTGTATATATATGTATTGTTTGTAAAATTTTTTTAGTAGTCCTTTAAGAAAAACTACTAAAGAGCTATCCATTTTACTTAGGCTTTAAAAGAAAAGACTTCCTTGAAATTTCATGCTTCACAGTAGTTATTTTTATTTTTAGGTGGGAAAAGTATTGAAGCCAAAAAAGATTTTCAAGCATAAGCACAAGAAAGGTTGGGGCGGATGGAGTAGTAGTAGTAGCAGTTCTGATGAAGAATAACTAATTTCTCTATAGTGTTTGCTTTTCGAACATTTGAAATATAAAATCTGTATTCTTTCTGATAGAATAATATATTGCAAAAAAACAAGATAAATGAACTACTTCTAAAATCTACTTCAGAGCTTCATGTAGAAATATACTTTCCTTTAATTGTGTGTTTTATATTTGTTCTTGTAAGCAGGGTGCAAAATTTCGATTCGCCAGCACTAATTTTTAACGCTAGCGACTAAGTATAATCTTTTAAAATGTTAGTTTTAATGCTTATATTATTTTGACTAAGTAAAGCAGCAAATGGAAGTGTTGGCATTTTTCATCTACTTAGAACAAAAAAATATTGTGTCACTCACTTTTCACGTCAAAAATAATTGCTCCTGGAAATATTTTAACAATAAGACAACCTTATTTTGATTTTTAAGTTTTGGTTACCAAAAAGTTCTTCATAATGTTCCCCCGAAAATATTTAAATAATATCAATTTGAATTATTTTGAAAGAATGTGTCTATGAATGCTGAAACTTACTTTTTGTGTCAAGAAATATGGCTGAAAAGTTTTTTTTTTTGCAATTTTTTGTTATGAAAACTAGGGAATGTGAATAAAACACTAAAATCCTTTGTTTTTGAGAAATCATTATATTTATTAAATCAGAAGAATACAGAAAATAAAGGACTTAAGTACTTTATTTAGAATTTTAGTATGCAGTTATGTTATGTGATGAGAATTATTATATTTTAACCAGATTTCTTTCTGTTGATTTTATAAACAATATATTTTTAGGATATTTTTCTGCATGTGTTTTTACATTGTTGATAAATTTGCTACATATCTATCAGTGTTATATTTCAAAGTTTTATATAAATGCAATGTATGCTGTTAATGAATTAAAAATGCTTAACAATTTTGTAATTATTCTTAAAGTTATTTATATTTATTTACAAATCACAAATGAAAAGTCTCCATAAAACTAACCAAATTGTCGATAATATAAATGGAAGACAAAATGTGGGTTTAAAAGACAATTTAAACTGAATTGAAGGCATTTAGAATTAACAATAAAACACTAAATTCTCATTAACTTTCTTGATTATAAATTTTCCAAATGTGTAAGCTAAAAATCAATAAAAGTGATATAACTCAGTTGAAATTTAACAAGTTGAATCTCTGTATGGAGATATTATAATATAAGAGTTTCCCCCTTCTCATGGTGACACGGCAACGTTGTCGCAGAACATAACAGAGTTCTTGGAGAAAGATTTTTTATTTGGGAAGCAAAGAAGTTTGAGTTTTATTTTATCTGCAGAATTATATTCAAAAACTGCTTTTATGGAAGGTGGAATAAATGCTCATGATTTTTTTTAATACTTTCTTTTGAGAAAAAAAAAATCCACAAAGACTGACTTTAGCATGAATTTCAGACTGATATTACAAAAAGTAATTTCCAAATAGCAAAAATTTAAAATAGGTTAATCCACAAAAACTGACTTTAGCATGAATTTCAGACTGATATTATAAAAAGTAATTTCCAAATCGCAAAAATTTAAAATAGGTTAACTATGGAAATATTTTTTAGAACAGGTAATAATAATATTAGAATATATATTCTTTTATATTTAGGTTTAAAAAAATTCTTACATTTATGATTAAAAAAATTATATACTGTTCTATTCTATACATGAAGGCTTATTTTGTAAACAGAAAGCGCTTCTGTTACTTTAAATCAGTAGCATATATATTTGCTATTATTAAAAATGTCTTTCAGAAGAGTATTAGTACTAGAAAGAATTGTTGCAGAAAGCTTGAAACAATTCTGCCAGAGGGAGAGTGTCATTTTGAAAGTCAAGATATTCATTTGTGTTATGCACTTTTTATTTTTAACATGAATAAGATTTGAAATGTAATTGAATAATATAAAGTTAAAAAGTAATCATTTTTCAATTTAGTTTAAATTTGCCTCACAATGTAGTGTTGGAAATCAAAACTGTCAAGTGACTAATACAATGATTCTGTGAATATGCAGCTCTTCCTTGTTATTAAGAAACTATTGTCGATGTTCCCAACAATGTAGGTACCTATGTACTGTTAAATTCCTATTGAAATATGACCTAGCTTCTTTAAAGAAAATGGTATAAAATTTAGGGTAAGATAAAAATTTACCGCAGCTGGAGCCATTGGGTCAAGATAGGACGAGTCAAAGTTTATTAATTTGTTATTAAAATTTAAAAGGCATACAAAAGATATACATGCGTGGCTGAATGGTTAAGCTATCCAACTTCAAGCTGAGAGAACAGCTTTTCTATTCCACTGAGGAAGTATTTCTTAATATTGAAATATGTGTTGTATAAATTTGTTTTATTTAAAGTATATATATTAAAAAATCTACTCTTTAAATTTTAGAACTATTAAAAAAATTTTTTAAATGATATTTTCTTTTAGTTAGCTAAATAGTAGTTATTTAAAAGCAGTTTAATTTATTTAATAGTGGTGATTTAGAAATTAAATTGCTTTTAAAGTCAAAATTCTTTAAAAATTTCTTCAATTATACTTCTAAATTAGAAAAAAAAAATTTCCAAATGAAAGTATTTAATAAAATACTGTTTTTATTTATTTCAATTATAAAAGAAAAGGACAATGAGGAAAACCTAAATTATTAATTTGTTTTCCATCTGTTTGTTTATTTTTATTTAAAAAAAAACATTTTTCAGCCATAAAGAAGTTAAAATCAATAAATTAATTTTTAAAACAATTCATCCATTTCTATTAAAAATATAAAATTGAACATTTTTAATAAATACATAGAAAAATTAATTAAATAGAAGATAACACATTTTTTATATTATGAAATGAAAAAGTTTCCTCACCTGGGATAGAATTGCCATTCTCTCGGCTATGATTTTGATGACGTAACCATTCTGCCACCCACTCATTGACATCTTCCATATGCTTTTTTTAAATTTCAATTATATATGAACAAAACCTTTCATTTTTACACTACCCTATGTTAGCTCATAAATTTTAATTTAGTCTTCATTTTAATAAGACTTTTATAGATCTGTAATTTCAAGTATTTAAACAGGCAAGGCTGGTTCTACTATACCGTTTTGAAAGTATATAATTTTATGATAAAATAACACTTGTTATAATTATGTAATGTTGACTGTATTAATATATTTTAGGAATGCATTTTTTTAGAAATAAATATCAGATTGCTACATAACAATATTAATGAACCAGGTTTTAATTTTATTTTTCCTGCATAAAAAACATTTTCTTTTAATTGTCGTTGAAAACAGATTAATTTTGTGTCATATGAAACAAATGTTTCTAGGGTGAATTCGTGAATTTTTAAAATATTAATTATGGAGACTACTGCACTGCGTGAAAAAAAGTTCTAAATTCATTCTTATACAAAATGCTGAAAAAAATCGAATAGGACATTTTCCTGTCATTTTCTAGGGATGTCATTCTTCCTTTACTTGTTTTTGGATAATTGTACAGCTAGCAAAGGAGCAAGATTTCTTCCTGCATTAAATTGTAATAAATAAATAAATATATTTTTTTTTTAAAGTAGCATATGATAGTAATAGTTTCCCCTCAAAAACATTAATAGATAAATTTTCTTGTATTGTATTTCTCACAAAATTCTAAGCCATTTGAATTATTGCAAAAAAAATAAATGAATAAATACATAAAATAAAATTTAAATTTGTCCTAAGTACAACATTCTCTTCTATTTGTCACATTAACACAGTAGATGTTCATTAAAATACATTTGTCAGGGTACAAGGAAAAAGAACTATTGGATGCAGTTATATTGGGATAATTTTGTTAATCAAAACAATTATTGCACAGAAAAAAAGAAATATTTTTGGTATTGATGTTCACTAAGGTTGGTCAGTGTTTATCAATTCTGCTCTTGTCAGATTCTATGGTGTGAGAAGAAGCCTTGTGTCACAAATGCAACGAATACATAGTTAATACTAATTATAATTTTTTCACCCAGAGATAAAAATGACTTGTTCTTTCATGAGTTATGTACTTGAATGCTCAATATTTTACTTAAATATGCAATAGTGTATACTGTATTTTAATGATATGAGTTGTAAGCCTGTCATATTAGGAACTAAATATAATTAAAAATTTAAGTTAGTGCATTACTATATGGTAACAAAGTTACATGAAACAGAAAAAAATCACAATTTATTGAGTTAAATTTTTTTAATGCAAATTATAAAAATAACTGCAGATATTCAGATCTAGTTACTGACTAGTTTGATATGCTTGCTATCAAGAGCAGTGATGTTAAGCAGACGAGCAGCAGAATAGGCTAAAGTAATCAATGCTTTTAATGACATCCTGAATGGCAATTTAGTGTGCAGCGATGTTTTTGAACTATTGGCATAATATTTGTCTTTATTATTGCCCAAACAAAGTTGATTACAAGTGTTGATATCAGGAAAATAGAGTGGTCTTGACGACCGATATAAAATTGCCGACTTAAAAATCCCGTATTTCAACATTTAAAATGTCCAAAAAGAAGAAAACATGTCCTGCCTTCAAGTGCCAATTTTTAACTGAATTTAGTCAATAATGTCAAAAGTTATCAATGTCTTCTGCATATAGCCCAATAATTGCCACCCTCATAATGTACTTTTTATGAATTGAGTTTCCTTTCTAGTTCAGTAAATATTTTTTTGAATGAATGTTTCTACCTGCTAGTTTTATCAATTCTTATGATGGGAAAAACATTTTGAACCTTTGACATTTATAATATCTACTCAATTTTACTAGCTTCTTATTTGAAATTTGCTCTAACTTTCATAGGCTTGAGCTGTTTTTCTACCATTTATTAGTTAGTATTAATGATTTCCTCTTTGATAGTAATTTATATCTATGACCATACGTAAGTCTTATTTTAAAACAAAATCCAATTTAACAGTATATGCTGTTTAAAAAGCAGTATAACGATTTTGATGTATTTAATGTTAAACATTACATAAAATACACTTATTAGTTCAGCAATTTTAAAATTTGGTATTATTACTTCTGTTTTTATTATTACTTATTTGTAAAACAGTAGTTAAAATTAAATTATTTAAGATAATAAGACTCTTACTAACAATTTGCCACTGCTAACTCAACTGGAAATAATAGAGATTTTACAAAGCCTTCAAACTCTACCTGCAATATTCCATATTCACGAAGCTAAAAAAGAAAAAAAAAACTTCTTTTTTAAAAGCTCCTCATTTTCCAAGGCCCTCCAAAAAGCTATCGATGTGTTGGGAGAAAGAAAACGAATGTTTACTCCAAATGGGTGGGTAATACAAAATATAGTTATCTGATATGCTTTCAGGAATGATAGGTCACAAATTGTTATAATGGTTACGAACAATGGATACACAAGATTCTGCATGCTTGCAACAATTTTTTTTAAAGTTATCTCAATGTCTTAGTTTCTTCAACCTATTGTCCACTGAGTTATTCAATTAATTCTATCTTTTTGCAGGATTGCAAATATGCAGCATATTTGTACTCATCAAAAGCATGAGTCCCCTTTTCTTCTATTTTTTCGGTTTGGCTTTTTTATTCAATAATTTTTTATTAGCGATGAATTTTTTAAATCAGATTTTTTTTTCCATTTTGCATTCTCTAACATATTTTATATAATTCAATGATGATGTGCATAGTAAGTTTAAAATATTTTCTTTCACTATTTTACGTTACTAACGATAAAACAGTGTCTATTAGAACTGGGTATCTTTTTGTTTCACCAGTGTGACCAGATTTTTATTGTTCAAACCTGCTTATTAGTTCCAATTTTCGGTTAATTAAAACTTTGTATATCGCATTTGTTCTTCAAATTGAAGAAAATATTTTCAACGTTGTATGGAGAATCTGCATTTAAGTTT